TTTGGATGTTTCCCATTTTGCATCATGTGGAAGGATGAACGGGCAAAGTGTTTTCATATTTTTGAACAGCTCTTTCTAATTCAGCTGGGGTTGAAAGAGAAGAGTTGATTTCTTTCCTAGTCCCTTCAAATCGAGATTTTGTTCTGCAGATAGCATTGGTCTCTATAGAGGGGCTTTCTTCTGCATTGAATCAGGGTAGAAAGATAGTCTTAATGAAGCTATATGTTACAGATTTTTCCCAGAGAGATAAATCTTCTGAGAGAATCATTGTGTTTGTACCAAAATTTAACTGTAAATCCGAAATGGATTGGTAATGCAATCCATCTCCAAATTCATTGTCACCTGACCATTGTAAAGTATCATACCTGTCATTGTCTAAAAGATAAAAATGTTATAGCATAAGCCTTTTATTGGTAGCAGTTTTATTGAGATATAGTTGACACATTGTATAATTGCTTGAAGTGTACACGATTCAGTGGGTTTCAGTGTACTCACAGAGTGAAACCAGTACCACCATCATTTTTAGAGCATTTTCCTCACCCCAAAAAGAAATCTTGTACCCTTTAACCATCAGCCCCCAGTCCTCCAACTACTCCAGCCTTAAGCAATCACTGTTCTGCTTTCTTCTCTATTGATTTGCCTATTAAGACGTTTCATAGAAATGGAATCACATAGTATGTGGTCTTTGTGATTAACTTCTTTTACTTAGTTTTTTTTTTTTTTTGAGAGAGAGCACGTGCACAAGGGAGTAGGGGGAGGGCCAAAGGGAAAGGGAGAGAGAATCTCAAGCAGACTCCCTGCTGAGCGTGGAGCCTGAGAAGGGCTCCATCTCATGACCCTGAGATCACACCCTGAGCCAAAATCAAGAGTCTGGCACTCAACTGACTGAGCCACCCAGGAGCCCCTCACTTGGTTCTTCTTAGGGTTTGTCCATATTGTAGTATGTAGCAGAAGTTCAGTCTTTGTTGTGGTCGACTAATATTTCATTGTAGGGATATATCACATTTTGTTTATCCATTCATCAATTGTTGGACATTTGGGTGGTTTCTGCTTTTTGGCTGTTAGGACTCATGCTGCCATGAACGTTTCTGTACAAGTTTTTGTGCAGCTTAAACTTTTAAGACCTATATTGTGTCTGGTAGCTCGCATTTATTCGGTACATACCGTGCACTGTGCCAGGCATTGTACTAGTGAGTTGATTTTTACTTGTGAGCAATTGCAGTCAAATGGAGGAGATGTGTCAGTAAATAGAGGATTATTATGAAGTATCCCAAGTACTATGTAAAGATAAGCCTTGAGTACTAAGGAAGCACAAGGGAAGCACAGGTGATGCACTGGGTGTGTACAAGAGGGATGGGTCAGAGTAACTTTCTGGGATGAGCCTGCACTGAATCCTGAAGGACAAGAGGGAATTAATTGGCTGAGTGAAGAAGGAAGAGAAGTGTTATCCAGGCAGAGGAAGCAGCGGGTGTGGGGGTCCAGAGGTGAGAGGGTGGTGCTTGCTTGAATTTGGAGGGCTAGAGGGAATTCATAATAAAGAATTCATCATGGCGGGGGTGTTGGGATGGGGTTGGAAGGTGAGAGACGCAAGTCGGGCTTTGGCAGTGAGCCGAAGAGACGTCTAAGTGATCTTTACGCTCATGCTAAGGGTGTCGTCCTTCACCCTGTGGGCTGTGGGGGCCACTGAAGTAGCATGAGCCAGCAAGCAGGGGAATCCTCTCTCTCAGCCATCACTGGGGCTCTGCTCCCTCTCCTGCAGTGGGATCATGTGGCTCCCACGGTTCTTAACCCCCTGACTCCCAGACTTAGCATCTCTCAGCTGGTCCCTGCCTGGTGCCCTAAGGTGGGGAAGCCTCCAGGGGGGACTCCTGTCCCTCCGCCCTGGAGCACCAGCTTTACTCTGGTTAGGTGCCCTTCTCTTCCTCTCCATTTTCCTTTTGGGACAGCCGAACGTGACCCTCCTTAAATGTGCTACGAACATGATGTTGACCCCTTTTTTCTGGGATAGGAGTAGGGACACATCTGTTAGGTGGCCTTTTTTTTTTTTTTAAAGATTTTATTTATTTATCTGACAGAGAGAGATGGTGAGAGCAGGAACACAAGCAGGGGGAGTGGGAGAGGGAGAAGCAGGCTTCCTGCCGAGCAGGGAGCCCGAGGCGGGGCTCGATCCCAGGATCCCGGGATCATGACCTGAGCCGAAGGCAGTCCCTTAATGACTGAACCACCCAGGCGCCCTGTTAGGTGGGCTTTTGTGTCTTACTTTTTAAAAATAACTTCCTCTGATAAGGTGATATGGTGAGTTATGATACTCTATTTGCAGTTTTGGCTCCTGGGATTTTTCTGTGTGGTTTTTAAACACTGAGAATATTGTTATATAAATACGCATCATTTACTTGTAGATAAAATGAAATAAGCAACTCTGTATAAAAGTTTTTCTGCGTTTTGATGGATTCTGGAGGTGGAATTTTTGAGTCATAGCCTTGACTTTTATTATCATCATTGTTATTACCAGGCCACTCTCTGTTATCACTGTACCACAGACTTAGCGGCTTTAAACAATACCCACTTATTAGCTCACAGTTCTGTGGGTCAGAAGTCCAGGCATTGCTCAGCTCCTTTCTCTGTTGAGAGTCTCCTAAGCTGAAATCCAGGTGTCAGCTGTCTGGGTTGTCATCTGGAGGCTCAGTTGCCTAAGGAAGAATCTACTAAGAGGCTCATTCAGGTTGTTGGCAGAATTCAGTTCCTGGGGGTTATAGGACTGAGGCCCGTCCCTGTTTTCTTTCTCTTTCTTCCTTCCTTTCCTCCTCCTTTCTTTCTTTTTTAAGATTTTATTTATTTATTTGACAGAGAGAGACACAGCGAGAGAGGGAACGCAAGCAGGGGGAGAAGGAGAGGGAGAAGCAGGCTTCCCGCCGAGCAGGGAGCCCGATGTGGGACTCGATCCCAGGACCCTGGGACCATGACCTGAGCTGAAGGCAGATACTTGACTGAGCCACCCAGGTGCCCCTCTTTTTTTTTTTTTTTAAAGATTTATTTTATTTATTTGAGGGAGGGAAAGAGAGCACCCAAGAGTGGGGGTGGGGGGCGTGGGGAGGGCAGAGGCACACTCAGCATGGATCCCACAACTGTGAGATCTTGACTTGAGCTGAAATCAAGAGTCAGACACCCGACTGACTGAGCCACGCAGGTGCCCCTAGGTCCCTGTTTTCTTGCTGGTGTTTATTTAGGGGTCACTTTCAGGGCCTTGCTGTGTGGTCCCACCTTCTCCACAGCTAGCAAATCTTCCTCACATTAAATGCCTCACCCTTAGAATGTCTGACTGCCTCTGTCTGTGACCTCTAGACCTAGATTTAAAGGGCTGATGGGATTGGGTTTCTCTGTCTCCCCACAACCCTCAAGAACTTTTCATCATCTCAAACAGAAACTCTGGGGGCGCCTAGGTGGCTCAGTCATTAAGCGTCTGCCTTTGGCTCAGGTAATGATCCCGGGGTCCTGGGACTGAGTCCTGCATCTGGCTCCCTGCTGCTTCTCCCTCTCCCCCCTGCTGCCCTCCCTGCTTGTGCTCTCTGTCTTTCTGTCAAATAAATAAAATCTTTAAAAAAAAAATTCAAACAGAAACTCTGTACTCATTAAACGGTAACTCCCCATTCTCCACTCCCTGCCCCCTGCCTCCTCTATTCTTTCTGGTTTTATGAATTTATCTATCTGAGCAACCTCATGTAAATGGAATCATGCAATATTTGTTCTTTTGTGCCTGGCTTGTTTCATTTAGCATAATATTTTCCAGGTTCATCCATCCCATAGTATGTAGGCCATTGTATGTGTATACCACGTTTTGTTTAGCCATTCACCTGTTCATGATCATTTGGGTTGTTTCAGGTCTCTTTATCTTAAGGTCAGCTGATCTGGGTCCTTAATCACGTCTGCTAAATCCCAGAATACTGGAGCCGTCTCTGGATTCTGTCTACCACATACCCTCTAGAAAGATCGTACTACCTCTCGTTGGAGGTACCATCTTGCCTTCTTTCATACCTTTGTCTCTAAATGGTTCAGAAGAGTGTGGAAATTGCATCTCATGTCACTGCCTGCCTTTCCAGCTGGGTTTTTCTCTGCTCACAACTCTAGAGCAATGAAGGATGCATAACAATCACTTTTTAGCCACCAGTGAGAGTGCTCTGGCTTCTCGTCCCCGATACTACCTGTGACATATTTCTGAGGATGTATGAGAGTGTGCAGTAATGTCCTGAGAATGCAGCAGGATTTGGACTTGTCCAAATAAGAGAATTTAGGGCTATAACTGCCATGATTAAAGTCAGCCTCATGTTTCAGCTGAATGCAGATTCTTTTGATTCATTCTGGTCTTTTGGGATTTGGAAATTGGATCCTGAAAAGATGGTGCTCCCTAGGAACTGGGGGACCTGGGAAATGGAAATCATTAGAATGTGCTAGAAATCTCAGATTAAATGGGAGCTGAGCATCTCAGTAACAAGACTATGACCATAGATTCAACACGGGTGGTGTTTGAATATTACCACTTGCCATTTGGCTTGGAGGAGGAGCCATGGCCTTTGGAAAGGCATGGGGGTGGGGTGGTGTGGGATGGTGTGTGTGCATACGTGTGTGTGTGTGTGCATGTGTGATGTCCTAGGTTAAGTTTTGCTTTGAAGGGGCTCTTAGTAGCTCTGTTAGCTCTGAGGTAAGTTAGATTCTCTAAGGGTCTTAGATTATGTCTTCTCAATTTAGAATATGCCAGCTTGCTTGTGGGTAATCCTGGTATTGGGGAACAGATAGCAACCACCCTATTGTAGCAGGTGAGTGTGAGATGTGGGCGAGGACTAGCAGGGGATAAAAGCGTCCCCTGTAAGCAGTGGATCCTACCTGCCAGCCGGGGACTTAACCTGGGCCATAGGAAGAGGAAGACCCCGAGGTGACTACGTGCGTGTCTTCTCCAACCTAACCTGGCTTCGCGGGCAAAACTGAACATGTGTTCTCTCTCTCAGGCAACTGCAATGTCTGTGGACCGTCTCGGGCAGCATGCTGTGCTTTCCGGGTAAGTGAGCTTGCAGCATTACCCTGCTGCGATTTCTGGGAAGAAACTACAAATCGGGAGGTTTCTGGGAAGTTGGAAAATACTCTTTCTCTTTAAGGATTGTGGTCATAGGGCTTTGTTCTGCTCTCCTAGTGACCTCGGGAGGTACTTAGAGGGATTGTTTGCCATTTATTTTTGTCTCTGCCCTAATATGTAAGCAGTAAAATTCCTTTGAAATTTTAGTGACTGGTACTTTGGTCTTGGAATTGCAGTTTTCTGTGTATCGCCCGGACTCTGTAGAAGGATGCTGTCTGCTGTGGTCTCACAGGTAGTTACCAGGATCGACGGCATCTGGGTCCTAGTTTGGCATTGCCATTTACTGTGAGTCCCGGGACACTTATCCACTCGGCCTCCCTGGACTTCAGTTTTCTTGTGAAGGAGTTTGATTTCGTTATGGAGAAATCGAGCTACATAATTTCTGTGGTGTCGTCTGGCCCAGCATTTTTAAGATTCTGGCAACTAAGCACCATCCCAACATTTGCTCATCACTGCGCCATGGTACCAGTGTGCTGCCACATAATGGCCAGAATCTCCCCTCCCCTTTCATATTCACGACCTCTCTAAGTTTGCTGTATTTTCATTAACTTAGTTGTTTATGAACCCATTTATCAGTTTTTTTTTTAACTAGTCTCTCCACCCAACGTGGGGCTTGAACTCAACCCGGAGATCAAGAGTCACACGCTCTACTAACTGAGCCAGCCAGGTGCCCCTGAACGCACTTATGAATTAATGAATTATCTTCTATTTCATTGTTTTATTTTGAAATCATATTTTAATTTACCTTAAAAAATGTAGCAAACATTTAAATAATTCAAAAGGCTATGCAGTGAGAAGTAAGTTTTCCTCCTTCCTTTTGACCCCCTCCCCAGAGACACTTACCATTACCATTTTCTTTTGTCATACTGGATGCATAGCTGAGGAACAATTGGTATGTCTCTTTACCGCCGCCTCTGCACTCAGGAAAAAAAAACAGCTTTATTGAGATAAAATTCACAAATCATGCAGTTTACCCATTTAAAGTGTGCAAGTCAGTGGTTTTGGGGATATATTATTTATTAACTACTCAGTTTTTTTTTAAATCTTTTTTTTTAAATTTTATTTATTTATTTGAGAGAATGAGAGAGAGAGAGAGAGAGAGCATGAGAGGGGGTTGGGTCAGAGGGAGATGCAGACTCCCTGCTGAGCAGGGAGCCCGATGCGGGACTCGATCCCGGGACTCCAGGATCATGACCTGAGCCGAAGGCAGTCGCTTAACCAACTGAGCCTCCCAGGCGCCCCATTAACTACTCAGTTTTTAAACCTGGTTTTTTAAAATCAAGGAAGTACATATATATAATTGAAAAAGTCAGTATAGCATTACAAGGATTATATTGTCAGACAGCAGAATCCTACCTCACCTTTTCCTTATCTCTGATCCCACTCACTAGAAACAACTGAGACTCTTTTAGCTTTTTCTTTGGGGTTGCCTCCATTGTTTCAAATAGTATACATATACTCGGTATCTTGATTTATCCATCATAGATATATCTCATAGATCATAGATATAACAAATTGACTTCTTTTTTTTTAAGATTTTATTATTTGCAGAGAGAGACAGGGAGAGCAGGAACACAAGCAGGGGGAGTGGGAGAGGGAGAAGCAGGCTTCCCGCTGAGCAGGGAGCCCGATGTGGGACTCGATCCCAGGACCCTGGGACCATGACCTGAGCCGAAGGCAGACGCTTAACAACTGAGCCACCCAGGCGCCCCATAACAAATTGACTTCTTAAAATAGATGAGGATTTAGCACTATTATTTTCCTCTGTGTGTCCCTTACATGACCTCCCCCTCCTTCCAATATAGTTATGTAACAGTTTTGGGCTGAGTCAGTATTTGGGGTTCTTTACTCAGAGTAATTTTGAAAGGTCCTATACCATTCTGATTCTGGACTTTGTATGTGACCTATTTTTTGTCTTTGGAAGCTTTCAAATTTTATCTTTGTCTCCAGTGTTACTTTTACCTCCAGGTGTGTGAAATTTTTCCTGTGATTGCCTTGGTGTATGTCTCTTTTTCATTCATTGTGCTGGGCAGAGCCCCTCTTTTTTATACATCGTTCCTTGTTTTATCTAAACAGATAGAAACATAACATATACTTGGCATCATGTGGCTATATTAACAACCATAAAATACAGAGGTGCTAAGGGATAACTGTGTCTCAAATGTTAGACTTTTCTGCATTCACTGATGTGGCTGTTGTTATTTGTAGCATCCTAGGAGGGAATGGGATCACTTCGCTGGAAGTGAGGCAAGCATTCCTGTTTTGGTGTGCTCTTAGATACATATATCTTACTTTTCAACATAATCTTAGAGGTTCACCATTTCGTATTCTTACATTGAACTTGAAAATATATAAAGTATGTACTTAAGTGAACTGCTCAAGTAAATTTACAAATATATACGCCCATGCGACCCCCATTCAGATTAAGATCCAGAGTAGTTTTTAGCACTGTTGGAAGGCCCTTTCATTCTGGAAGTCCGTGTCTTCCAGTTTGGAGAAGTTTCCCTGCACTGCGTCTTTGGTAATTTCCGACCCTCTACTTCCCGCTCTCATTCTTTCTGGAGCTGCTCCTAGTCCGACTTGGATATCCTTTGTGAATTTTCTTTTGGTCCTTTTTGTTTTGCATTCTGGGAGTTTCCTTCAGCTTTAACTTCCCACTCTTTGATCAGATTTCTTTATTTCAGTTATGCTTTTCATTTCCAGGAGCTCTCTCTTGTTCTCTGTTCTTGACCGTGTCTTCTTCTCCGTCTCTGGCAGTGTTCGTTCCAGGCTTCCTCTTTCCTGTGCACTGCTTACTTCCTCTTTTCCTTCAACCGTGTTGGTGCTTGTCTCCCATGTTGCCTCTGGTGACTGATACTCACTGGCTCTCTGTTACTGTCAAAGAGTGATCAGTTTACGTGTGTGGCAGTGGGGTTTGTCAGAGGGAGATCGGGTGGGGACCAGACCCCTTTTTTGGGCGGGCACCCAGATGTCGTCATCTCCTGGGTTCTGTGTTGTTAACTTGTTGCCTTTGTTTTTTTCTTGGGCTGGTCATTTTCCCCTGAGAAGAATCCTCTTGTCACTTGTCGTTGTCTCAAGACGAAAGCTCGGTGTTGTGAGTACTGAGTAGGGAGGAGGCCGGGGGGCCTCACACCCCACCTCAGTGCCCTGTTTTAAGTACATCCCCTCATCCTCACACGCTGCTGTGCCTGTCGTCCCAGGTCTGGGGCTCCCCTCAAGTAGTTTCTCTAAAGCACGCCCCCCCCCCCGGGTGAAGAAGAGGGGGTCACCCGGCTCTCTGGGGTGTGCATAAACCACTCTCCTTAGTGCTCTTTCAAACCGTGCTTGTTCTGTTCTACGTTTGCTTCTCCAGCCTCTCTGTAGGCCGAAGCCTCCAGCTCCTGGGCCGGCTTGGGTTCTGCAGCGTGCATCAGCTTCCCTGTCATTCACATCCCCTTTGCAGGCACGTGGGTGTCTGCTTTCTTTCCATCAGTTACTATTTGTCCTTGCGCTCTTCACTTCCTCTCTGTCTCTTTGTCTTTGTGGGTTTCTTGATTTTATGTTTTTACTCTTTCTTTCGTGGGTCTTCATGGGGGAATGAAGATACACATGTATGTTCGATCAGACATATTTATCCTGAAGTACTTGCTTTCTGTGGCTCTCCCTTTGCTCTGTCATGCCTCTGACCTTCCCTCTTGACTCGCGTCCCACATGGATAGCTCTCGACCTTTTTTCCTGTTGTTGGTGCTAATGGAAAGATGCCAGCCTCCCTGCTACAGGATCAGGTGATTCCTTCAGAGGGTGTCAGAGATTCTAGATCTTTGTTCTGCACCAGAAGTTCCGGAAGTTCTGTGAATTTGTGTCTTGCCTGTGTTTTCCTGCTTCCCCCCCTAACCCTCTCTTGTCGGGTTTCTGCTAGAGTGTGACGTGCCATTTTAACTTGCATTTCCTATCTCCTCTGAGCAGGGACGATGAATCTTTTTCTTCATCATTGAGCCCACCTATCCTCAGTGATACCCAGGGGCTTGGCGTGTTCTCTAACAACAGCTAATGGCTGCTGAGATGTTGATTCACACACCAAGGATTTTTCCCTTAAAGCAGAGGGAAGATAGGTGAATACAGGACACTCCTGTTTTCAGAGCCTTTATATTGACTGGCACCTTGAACATTCTCAGCGCTTAATATGTTAATTTCACTATTACTTTACTGGTTACTATTTCCTTCCCAACAGTCTTAACCAGGTCGTCAGCTTGCAAGGGAATTTGAGATTTTCTCCAGGATAGTTGACTGAGAGATGAGTGATGTGTGTAGCGCACGTTTACTGAATGCAGAGCACTGTGCCTGGTGAGGAGAGACCTGCAGAGATTGGAGACACGGTCCCTACTCCACCCATTTGGCTCAGGACCGAAGCCTTACCATCAGTAGTTGTACTACAGAGATAAATGCTACCCTCACCAAGCAAACCGCGCGGTGGGAGTAGCGCGGACCCAGGGACCAACCCTAGTGGGGCGATTGGGAAGCACCAGAGAGGCTTGGCGCTGAATCCGGTGGGCAGATGTCAGACTTCCAAGGATCCAGGGGGGAAGGCCATGTCTAGAGACAGGCTCGCACAGGGATGTGGCTCCCTCTTTTCGGTTGTATGCCTTTCCGAGTAGATGAACATCGTACACATCCGGGGTTTTTTTGAGCGCTGTTTACAAACCATATGTAATTCCAAATGTACTTTTCTGTCTTAGTGCTAATGCTGTTACATCGTTATAATGTTGATGTTGTTTTCCTAGCCGCCGATTCTTATACATCGTTAATCTAGATGCCCCTTTCGAAGGTCACCGAAAGATCTCTCGCCAGAGCAAATGGGACATTGGAGCTGTGCAGTGGAACCCTCACGACAGCTTCGCACACTATTTTGCAGCTTCGGTGAGCTCATTTAAGCAGTATAGGAAAAGGCTTTTAAAAGTGTGAGCTGGGGCCAGTAGGTCTATGTTCTATGTAGAGAAGAGAATGTAACCATCACTTCTCAGGCAGAGAAGAAGTATGAATGGTTCTAGAGGGAAGATGGAGGCAAATTACTGACATATATATACACATGCGTGCATGTGTGTGTTTCTAGGTTTGAGCAGATTTGCTGGCACCCGTGGTGTCAGATGTTGTGCTTCTGTGGCTCCAGATTTTGAAAGGGAAATGAGTAGATGCCTCCATTTCTGTGTGTGATAGGAACCTGTTTTCACTGGCAGGAAGGTAACTGGCTAGTGACTCTGACGTTCATCGCTTTCAGAGGGATCAGAGGACTGCACACACCCTTCCACTCAAAGGAAGGGATTCTGTCTTGATTGGGATTCATTAGATCAGCTAACCCCCTGAGATTTTATGTTCCTGTGTATATGTGAATTTTTCCAGGGAGAAGATGCATACGTTTTATTAGGTTTTCCAAGGGATTCATGCCTGAAAAAGGATCTGGGCTAGATCATCTCTGGGATCTTTCTCCAGATTCTCTATTTGCATCCTATTCTCCTAGAACAATTAGAAATCTACGCCTTTGGCTCCTTTTGCACTGGGCCGGGAGGACGGTATTTAAAGGAACCCGTCTTATCATCCAGGAGATGCAACCATTCACGGCGCTGTCTGGGTCTGTTCTTACCAGAAATGACAGTCTGAGAGAGGAAAGCATCTGAGGAAAAAGAAAGAAGAGTAACGTTGTCAGCTTCAGAAGGAACAAAAAGCTGCTCTTCCCCATCATTTCCAAAATAGAATCCGACTGTCTGACTCTCACCAGAGACGTCTGAGGTGGAGCTGCTTTAGGGGACTGTTCCGAAGGGGAAGGGAGGGCCAGTCTCCAGCTTTCCCATTCCCAACCTTTTCCTGTGTGTTAGGAACAATGCTCTTTTTGTTGGCTTATACCTCTAGGACTTTCTCTCCCTCTCACCCTCAGCCCCTGGTCATTTGACATTTGGTCCCGGGGTCCTCAACCTCGGCACTAGTGACATCTCAGGCCAGATAATTCTTTCTGGCAGGGGCTGTCCTGTGCATTGTGAGAGATCAAGCAGCATCCCTGGCCTCTGTCTCCGAGTCCCCGTCTCCTCCTTGCCCTCCCCGTATTCATGACAACCAAAGATGCCTCTAGATGTTGTTAAATGTCCCTGGGAAGCAAAATCGCCCCTGATTAGAAACCACTGCTTTAGGCTGACCAGTCAGTACTTGGCCCGAGTGGATTAACACTACATTTGTTTATAAGTGGTGAGATAACCCTTTTTTTTGGGACAATTGTTTTATTTTATTTTTTCTTTTTCTTTTTTGACATTCATTTTAAAATGGACAATTTAATGTCACTTACTACATTCACAATGTTATACAACCATTCCCCTCTCTAGTTCCCAAACGTTTCCATCACTCCAAATTGAAACCCCTTATCAATCAGCAGTTTCTCCGAATTCTCCCTCCCCACAGCCCCTGGCAACCACCAGTCTGTGCTCTGTCTCTGTGGATTTATCTGTTCTGGATATTTCCTATAATTGGAACCATACACTACATGCCTTTTGTCTCTGCCTTCTTTATCTCCGTTGTAGCATGAATCAGTGCCTTACTCCTTTTTATGGCCGAATACTCTTCCATTGTATGGCTGTAACACATTTTGTTTAACGGTTCATTCACTGGTGAACATTTGGGCTGGCTGTTGTGAATAAGGCAGAAATGAACATACGTGTACGTGTACTTCTTTGAGTACTTGTTTTCACTTCTTTTGGGCATATACTTAGGAGTGAAATTGCAGGGTCATATGTTAAGTCTGTGTTTCACTTTTTGAGGAACAATCAGACTGTTTTCTACAGTAGCTGAGTGGTTTTATAATCCTTCCAGCAATGGACAAAGGTTTCGATTTCTCTACATCCTCACCAGAATTGTTGTTTTCTGGGGTTTTTTTTCTTTAATTTTTATTTTTAAAAATATTTTACTTATTTATTTGAGAGAGAGAGGGCGTGCAAGAGAACACAAGCAAGGGGAAGGAGCAGAGGGAGAGGGAGAAACAGACTCCCTGCTGAGCAGGGAGCCCGACACAGGGGCCGATCCCAGGACTCTGAGATCATGACCCGAACCCAAGGCAGATGCTCAACTGACTTGAGCCACCCAGGCACCTCTTTTTTCTTTAATTTTTAAATTATAGCCATCCTAGTGAGTATAAAATGGTATTTCACTATGGTTTTGATTTGCATGTCCCTAATGACTAATGATGTTGAGCATCTTTTCATGTGCCCATTGGCCACTTGTGGACCTTTTTTAGAGAAATGTCTCTTCAAGTCCATTGCTCATTTTGGAATTGGGTTGTATGTCTTTTTGCTGCCGAGTTGTCAGAGTTCTCTGTATTTCTTGATACTAGACTTTTGTCAGAGATACGATTTTTTTAAAGGTTTTATTTATTTATTTTAGAGAGGGAGAGGGACAAGCAAACTCCCTGCTGAGCACAGAGCCCAACGCGGGGCTCTATCTCATGACCCCGAGATCATGACCTGAGCCAAAACCGCTTATCCCACTGAGCCACCCAGGTACCCCAGAGATATGATTTTTCAAATATGTCTCCCATTCTATAGGTTGTCTTTTCACTTTATTGATAAGGTCCTTTGATTCATAAAAGTTTTGATTTTGGTGAAGTTCAATTTATTATTATTATTTTTTTATTGCTCTTCGTTGGAAGGCAACCTTATTCAGGAGAAAGAGTTTTGGAGTTAGGCACATCTGAGGTCAAGTCCTAGTTTTGACACTCACTCTTTTATCTCTAGTGCTCTCCCAACTCTCCAAGTCTCAGTTGCCTCCCCTGTAATGTGGGTGATGACAGCCAGTGTGCAGTGTGGTGTGAAAGAGCAGGGGGCAGGGCTCTTAAGATTCCTAGTACATAACTAGCACTAGCAGAGCCTCTGGAAATGGCAGGGGATCATATTGTAAGATGAGGGGACTTCACTTTTCATTCCTGTTCCCATTGGAAGCTGTTTTCAATCCTAACCTTTTGACCAGGAACCTTACCTGTTTAGAATTGGAAACTGGCATTTCTGGTAATATATAGATATTAATGTACTTGCATCTTATGTATCAGTTCAGAAATTATTCGATACCTTTTAGTAATTAGATGATTATAATTTTTATTCACTTTTGGTGTTTTTCATAAGCTTATGATATTTAAATATTTTGCTGGCTTGTTTTTTCTTTTAGTGAAATGTAGTTTTTTCTTTCCTCTCCCTATTGTAGTGTGGTTTCTTCTGGCCGGTTTTTCCTGTGTCTTTTTACTTAAGCCTTTAAGAAATTTAGCATAGGCATATTTCAAGGAATCTTGTATAATTTTGCCTCCTAGGACACCCCTTTGGTGTTAGTTCTGTTTTCTTTCTTGTGCATATGTGTTTTTAAAGTGTGGTAGAGGGCGCCTGGGTGGCTCAGTTGGTTAAGCGACTGCCTTCGGCTCAGGTCATGATCCTGGAGTCCCGGGATCAAGTCCCACATCGGGCTCCCTGCTCAGCAGGGAGTCTGCTTCTCCCTCTGACCCTCTTCCCTCTCGTGCTCTCTATCTCTCATTCTCTCTCTCTCAAATAAATAAATAAAATCTTTAAAAAAAAATAAAGTGTGGTAGAAGGACTCCAGGCATTTGATAGGTGGGAAAGGTGAGCTAAAAACATCTAGTGTGATAGCAGCTGGAGAGCATGGGTGTGTGACCTTCTGCGTTGGGAGGTGGTCCTTCTGTCGGCCAGGGGACATCTCCATAACCCATCACTCATGTGCTCGGTAGTGCATCTGTAGCTTCAGTGTAACTGTCTGTACCTGTTCAGGGTGGGTTCACTTTGGTTTTTTTGTTTTTTAAAGATTTTATTTATTTATTTGACAGAGAGAGACACAGTGAGAGCAGGAACACAAGCAGGGGGAGCAGGAGAGGGAGAAGCAGACCTCCCGCAGAGCAGGGAGCCTGATGCGGGGCTCGATCCCTGGACCCTGGGATCATGACCTGAGCTGAAGGCAAATGCTTAATGACTGAGCCCCCCAGGCGCCCCAGGGTGGGTTCACTTTGAAGACAACACTGCCCTTTAAGGTCCTGGGTACTGAGCTGGGTTTGGCTCAGATGCTAAGTGTACTCATGTCTAATGTCTTGGTAAGGAAGTCAGTGTGTAGGATCTCTGCCATGCACGTTGGTTTCTCCATGGCTTCCTCTTCTCAGCCCTAGGCAGATTGCAGTGAGAGCACGTGTTCTCATGTGCTCCTGGCTGCCTTCTCTCCCTTGTTTCTTTTCAGAGTAACCAGCGGGTCGACCTTTATAAGTGGAAAGATGGCAGCGGGGAAGTTGGCACAACCTTACAAGGCCACACTCGTGTCATCAGGTAGGCACTAGCCCTCCCCAGCTCCTGGCCTGTCTCACTTTGTCAGTGTCCCCGTGGGAACTGAAATGAAGACACCATCCTCCTTCCATGGCTTGACCCTCTGTGTTGCGTTGGCTGCGGGTGGCTGCTGGGTCCTTTGCGTTCATGGTAGTGATGGCCCTCACAGCGAAGAGCAACCAGGATTTAGGAACCAGCATTCGTGTAACCACTAACCCTGATCCCAGGAGACACTTAGACAGGTACAGCCCAGTCTGGACTGAAGGATTAGAGCCGATCTTTCCTGTGGGAGGGAGACAGTTCTGCCAGTAGAATCGCTTCGCTCACAATCACCAGTGCCCAGGAGTACCGACAGTGGGATGCAGCCCTTTGCTCTTTCTCTGGCAGCTGTGGGGCACCACACAGAGCTCCTGCAGCAGAGTCCGTTATCCAGCTGCACGGTCACCTCCTGCCTGTGGCCTTGGCCTCTGGAGTGTCCCTTGATCCATCCTGTCCTTAGGTGACTATTTCTGGCTGGGGAATACTCCTCCTGGGAAGTAGCAAGCAGGGAATGCAGGAGTGGGGAAGCTGACCCAGGAAGTGCTGGGAAAGGCTAGACCCCCTGCCTGTGTTAATTGTGCAGGAACTGCCTTTCTAGGAGGGAGGACCTGGGTAGGGAGGACTTGCCCTTTTTGAAAGCTACACGGCAAGGTGGCAGGTTGCCACTGCTTTAAGAGATGTTGGTTTTACTCAAGGTACCTGTGGTTGAATCTGATTTAGAGAATGATAAGTCAAAAATTACTTCGTGTTTTTGCTGTGTGTGTGTGTTTGAAGTTGAAATCTTCCATTTCTTTTTTGGGAGCAGGTGACAGTATAGCTGGTGATGACAGGGGGAAGGACCTGAAAGTTTCCTTTAAAGCTTAGTTAAGTCATGTTCATTCCCAAAGAAGTTTGGAGATTGCCGCCCTAAGTCATCTTAAGGAGGCCCATGAATGGTGACTTCTCTGAAGCCACTGGAAACTAAATCTGCTGGTGCTTTGGACCTGGACTCTGAACTCTGAATTTTTTCTCTTCGTTGTTTTTCTGTTTATTTCTCATGTTCCCAGTGACTTGGACTGGGCCGTATTTGAGCCAGATCTCCTGGTTACCAGCTCCGTGGACACCTACATCTACATTTGGGATATCAAGTAAGAACAATTAAAAGGCCAAACCACCACAACCTGGACCTTTGTTTTAGAGATCAGGGGTCTTAGTTTGGTTTCCCCTGGATGCAGACCCTGAGATGAGGATACATGACCATGACAAGCACATTGTTTAGGAGGTGACAGAAATGCTGGTGGGGATGGCGAAGAGAGACAGGACTGGGAAGGCTACAGGTAGGGCGCGTGTTATCCACCGTAGGTGCCACTGTGAACAGGGGGTGCTTACACCTACTGGGGACTGCTAGGTGCTAGTGCAGAACTCCCTCCTCAGAGGTGTCCCACCCTCAAGGGCTAAGGACGTGGGGGTGCCATCCTCTGTCAGTCATTGGTTGAAGCCTGCCCCCTGGGGCCTCCCTTCCCTGGCACTTTAGGCCCGTCACAGAGGTGTGCAAAGCAGGCCTCAGCAAGCAGGGGAATCCCTCTGGCAGAGAAACAGAGGTGCTGGCGTTTGGAAGTCAGGCAGAAGTTTTTTTGTTTTTTTTTTTTAATGTTTTATTTATCTATTCATGAGAGTCAGAGAGAGAGAGAGAGAGAGGCAGAGGCAGAGGGAGAAGCAGGCTCCCCACCTAGCAGGGAGTCTGATGCGGGACTTGATCCCAGGACGCCGGGATCATGACCTGAGCTGAAGGCAGACACCCAACCGACTGAGCCACCCTGGGGCCCCAGTCAGGCGGAAGTTTGACTGAAGTGACAGGTGACAGTGGGGGGGTTGATGGGTATAGACACACATCTGCTACAGCAGACACTGAGTGCTCTAAGGCCCATCTGCTTTGCTCTTGGTGAGGCTTCCATGCCCTGCCTATAAGTGCCACTGAGAGCCACCTCTCAGGGTTACTCTTCGTGGAAGTGACGAGTGAAGGAGCACCCAGCCCACGGCCCGGCCTGTCATAAGTTCTTAATGAACATCTGTTCCCTTGTCCCTTCGTAGAGCAAATTCCCTTTGCCGTAACAATTCGAGAGGACTAACCAGGGGGTATAGTCCATAGAGTCCCCCAGATGGGACCCCTCCTCCCCTCAGCAGACTGCTCTGCTCCCAAATGGCAGTGGCTCTGGGATGATTTACTCAGAGAGGTGGGCAGACCGGGGAAAGGGAGACCGCGAGTCAGGGTGTGCGCAGCTGACTTCACCTGCATCCCGCTCACGTTAGTGCTTCAGTGGTGAGTCATCTAATGGCAGCGCCAAGCGGGGAAGGGGCCCAAAATCTGGGGGAAATGGAAGGGGGCTGCTCTTAAATAAGCAAAACCCCAGGGGGACGACTGGGTGGCTCAGTTGGTTAAGAGTCTGCCTTTGGCTCAGGTCATGATCCCAGGGTCCTGGGATATAGTCCCACACTGGGCTCCTTGCTCAGCAGGGAGCCTGCTTCTCCCTCTGCCTGCCGCTCCCCCTGCTTGTGTTCTCTCTCTCTCTGACAAATAAATAAATAAAATCTTTAAAACAAACAAACAACAACAAAAAACCCCCCACAAAACTCCAGGGAGCTACGAGGCAAGTTTAGAGTATTCCTCATTGATGTGAAATAATTGTTTTCATAATTTAAGGATTAAGGGACACTGAACAGATGATTCCTTTTCAGGTTTTCTGCATAGTAAGCCTGAGCCGCAGATTGGCCATCCGGTCCTCCTAGCTCTGGGTGGATGCCCAGTTCTGTCACGTTACCATTTCGTGGAGAAGTTGCCCTCCAGCCTTGTAGTGAACCCAGGAGTCTCTCTGAGAGTCTCCCGTTCTATCCAGGAGTAGGGTTTTGTTTTTAACAAAAAAACCCCAAAACATAAAATTTACCATCTTCACCGTTTTTTTAAAAGATTTTATATATTTACTTATTTATTTATTTAGAGATCGGGGGAGGGGAAAAGAGAGAGAGAGAAAATCTCAAGCAGGCTCCACACGCAGCTCAGAGCCCGATGAAGGGTTCTGTATCATGACCCTGAGATTGTGACCTGAGCCGAAATCAAGAGTCGGTCGCTCAACCGATGGAGCCCCTCAGGAGCCCCTATCTTCACCATTTTTAAGTGTACAGTTCAGTAAAATATATTCACATTGTTGCCCAACAGATCCCCAGAACTTTCTCATCTTACAAAGCTAAAACTACTCATTGCACACCTTCCCACTTTCTGTTTCTGTGGATTTGACTACTTGAGATAACTTCATACAAGTGGAAGGGAAATAATGCAGTATTTCTTTTTGTGACCGACTTATCTCACTTAATGTAATGTCCTCAAGGTCCATCCATGTTGTACCATATGCGACAGGATTTCCTTCCATCTCCAGGCTGAATAATATTCCCTTGTATGTATAGACCACATTTTGTTTATCCATTCATCTGTCGATGGACCCTTAGGCTGCTTCCCCCTCTTAGCGACTAGCTTTTTACTTCAGCTCTGAAGTGCTGCTGGGAAGGTCCTTGCAGAGTTAAGCCTCCATGACAGTCACTTCGTTGCCACCAGGAGAAATGGCACCAGGAAGGGATTCTTTTGGCTTCCTCCACCCCTGCATCGGGGTCATGGAGGCCATGCCGAATCATGTAGTTAGTTTGCTTTCTGTGGCTCCAACTGTGTGATTTGAAATTCAGCCTCAGCCGCATTTGAAGGAGCTGAGAAGGTTTGTCCCTGAAGGGAGATAGGCCTCTCTTTACCCTTGTTTTTAAGGCCCTCACGTTCCCTCTGAACTCTAAGCACCCACTGAAAGGGGAGTGGAGAACTGTGTGCAGAGGGTAGAAAGTCCCACGTGGGTGGTGGCATACAGATTGGGCATTTGATCTCTGACTTTTCTATTCCAGAGACACAAGGAAGCCCACAGTTGCACTGTCCGCTGTAGGTGAGTGTTTGTTCCCCCCCTTGGCTCAGTTCCTTCCTTCCATCCCTTCCCTCACAGGGACTGCCCCTGCCCCAGTCCCTGGCTCGGCTGGGTGGGATTTTAGGTCTCAGAAGTTAGAGTCAGGAGTGCTAAGCATGGTCAGGAACTGATTTTAGGATTCAAGGACAGGAGCCAAAATGGTTTGTTTTTAAACTTTTTATTGTGGAAAATTTCAAACGTGTATGAAAGTAGAAGAAGATGAAATTGCTTTATGTTCACGATCCAGCTTCAACAACTGTCACCATCCAGCCAGTCTTATTTATTTCATCTTTACCTCTACCCACTTTCCCACCCCCAACTCCCATCTCTTTTGGAATGATTTTGAAGGGGCGCCTGGGTGGCTCAGTCGGTTAAGCGTCTGACTCTTAATCTCAGCTCAGGTCTTGAACTCAGGGTCGTGAGTTCAAGCCTCACGTTGGGCATGAAGCCTACTTAAAAAAACAAAAAGGAATTATTTTGAAGTGTGTCCTGAGTGTCATATCATTTCCTTAACAAATATTTCAGTAAGTGATACTTATAGAAGAGAAGAATCCTGTAAGAAAACATGATCATGATACCATAAACGGACCTAAAAATGTTAACAGTGGCTCTTTAATATCAAATATTTAAGCGGTATTCAAATTTCCCCAATCTCAGTTGTTGTTGTTTTACAAATTATTTAAGTCAAAATCCAAATAAAAAACATGCTTATAAGTGGTTGATATATTTCTCATCTTTTACAGTTGGTAGGTTTCTTCTCCCTCTCCTTTTTTGGTTTATTTTTCTTTTCCTGAGGTTTATTTATTGAAGAAACCAGGTTGTTTGTCCTGTGGTTTCCCCATAATCTAGATTATGCCAGTTGTGTCCCCATATTGTCATTTAATGTGGATGTACTGAAACTTTGAAATTACTTTCTGGCCCCTCTGTTTTCATTGCTCAGTTGGAATTGACTGTTTTTGGAATTCTGCTTTGGGGCTGTTATGGGATATTTATGGAGAGTAGAATTTGGGCATAGAACTGGTATATCTTACAGTGATGAAGCCCAGTCATCAGTATTGTGTTTTGAAGATTTATTTATTTATTTTTGCAAAGAGAGCGAAAGAGTCGGGGGAAGCAGGGGGAGAGGCAGAGAATCCAAGCAGACTGCACTGAGCACATCCAACTCTGGGCTTGATCTCACGATTCCAAGATCATGAACTGAGCCGAAACCCAGAGTTGGTGGCTTAACCGACTGAGCCACACAGGTGCCCGTCTGTGTTGTATTTTGGCATCCTTGTTAAAAATGTACATTATCTGTCTCTTAAATCCTGCTGCTTTGCATCTTTTTGGTACATTTGAATTCACATTTGGTGTTTGCTCCAAAATGATTACATGATTCTTCTTCTCTCTCTCACATCTCCATGCCTCATCATATAAAGACATTGAGCATCATGACTGTATTAAGCAGGTGGATTATCTGTTCTGGGCAGTTAGGGACCATGTCTGTTTTGTTCAGTGCTGTAGATCAACGTCAGACCACCTCTCTGACCCGAGGAGATGCTCTGTAAATGTTTGTTAAAGGGCAGTGGGGATCAGGCACCTGTGCCTGTGTGCTAAATGCTGAAATAAATCTGTTGCTCTGCCCCCCACTGCCTGCCTTACTCCCGCCACCTCAGCTTTTAGGCACTTAGGACTTGAGACACATGATGGCCCACAGACATGGTTGCAGAGGACATCCAACTGAATGAAATACAAATGGTCTGTAAATGCCTCAGTTACCTCCCTGGGATTCTGTTGCTTCTACTTAGAGGTTTCTAAGTTAGGCTGGTCGTAGAGGAGCTATAAAAAGAAAGACAGTTCTTTTTTTCAGCCCACTTGCTCTGATTACTTTCTCTTCTGTTGTAAGTCCTCTAAAGAAGAGAGGTGGGAGACTTCTTTTTTGCACCTCAGTGAGATTTCTCAGTGGTAGCACAGCTGCCCTGGGAGAAAAGAGGCAAACAAGAGGCTGTGGATTTGGTAAGCTGCCCGATCTACCATTCCCTGAAGGTGCAACCTTGGCCAGTTGTTTATGGTGTTGTTTATGCCTTTGGGGTAGGAAGAAGTAAGAACCTATGTGTACTCCAGAGTATTCTCTGTCTGAGAACACCAAAGGTCTGGGAACTCTGACTCCATTGTCATGATCCTAGTAGATTGAATTAGGGGGTTCCCTTCCCTTTGGAAGGCTTCATGGTCTGATGAGTCCCCACACTGGGGACAGTGTATTTCTTTTGGAAGTGTTTGAGTAATCTGTCTTGAGGAAATGGGGCAGGCTCTTCCTACTCATTTTCTCCTCTAGCTGATACCCTTTCTTGCAAACAAACTGGGTCTCCTACACTGGCTTCCTCCTTTAGGGATCTCCACCGTTCGTTCCTAGGTGACTTAAGATGCCCTGTGTCTTAAGCAAAAAAACACAACAAACAAACAAATACCCTCACCAAAACCAAGCAAGGGTAACTTCTGGGTCTTAACTCCATTTCCTGTCAGATTCTGAGCCCTTGCTGTGTCAATCCCACTCTAGACTTCTTGGATCAGGTTGCCTTCCATAGCCCTGGATCCACGGCGATGTCCCCAGTGATAAACACCCACCCAAAGGGAGAAATATGTGTGGTCTGAGCAAGGATGAGAAGAGATGGGAAGGAGAGCCATAACTTGGTTATTTTTAAGAGTCAGCTAGAAGTGCTGATATGTCCTAGATTTCCACAGGTCTCAGCCCCTCTGGCATCTCATGCTATGCCTCCTCTCACATAGCTCCCTCATTACTGTTGTTACCTCTTTTTGTTGGCAGAGTGGGGAAAGGACTCAGTTCACAGTGCGGGGCATGTTCCCGTTTCCTGACTTAATACAGGGCCAGTGGCCATGTGCAGCCACTGTTGGGAGGAGAGAGTGCAGGAGGGAAATGGTGCACAGATCCTTCTGAGGGCAGAATTGGGCAACACGGGGGCTTATTCTTCAGCGGAGGTTCAGGAACCTTTCTTTCTCCAAGGTCGCCCTCCTAAATAGGTAAGAAAGTAAGTGGGAAGGAGCAGGCATTGAGCTGAGGCTCTTCTGAGTGGGAGCGCCAGGCTGGTCGCTGGGGATGATGAAGAGCCAGGCTATGTGATGGGTAGTTAGTTACCAACTACAGAGCCATGTTGAGCTGCTGCTCGTGAGAAACCATGTTTCCCTGCTGATTCTGTGTGGAGGTAACCTGTAGAGTTTTTTCCTAAGTGAGACTATTTCCTCAATTAGCTGACTCCGATCCTGTTCTGATGTGCTAATTCATTTTATTTTTTGGCCTCATTTTCTCTTTAACGGTGGAGCTGGTGCAGTCATAGAAACTTGAAGGGTTCTGTTTGCCTTCAGCTGGAACTCATTACCCAGCCACCCTGGATGTGCTCTACTCTGGTCCCAGGGGGGTTGAGGGCAGCCACTTTCTTCCCCTCATTTTTCTTTGCAGCCGGTGCCTCACAGGTCAAATGGAATAAAAAAAATGCTAATTGCCTTGCCACCAGTCATGACGGGGATGTGCGAATATGGGACAAACGGGTGAGTAGTCTCTTCTCTCCCACCCCAGTTGGTCTTTAGTCCCTCCCAGGGGTGTGAGGAGGATGCTGTGAGTAGCAGCACTCATCTTGAGAGGCCAGGGTGCCCTGTGTGCTGCGGCAAATTGCCCTTTTAAGATCACAGTACCAGAAGACATTTGCTTCCTGATCAAATTGATGTTGAAGGAAGATAGAGAATATTATGATCAGTGGTTAAGAAAATGAACTGGGCCTGACCTAAGTTAGAGCCCCACTTTACTGCCTCCTAATTAGGATATCAGCTGAGCCACTACACTTCTCCAAGCCCAGTTACCTTATCTTCAAAACGAAGATAATGACAGTATGTCATTGAGGAGGTCAAGCCCGGGGACCAGATACTATTCTAGAACGGTCAGCAGGCTTCTTATCCCTGCCCCAGATTGCAGAGCGCCAACTGGTTTTTCTAGGACATATTCCATCCTGGGTATTTCTGGTATAAATCACCGAGGCAAAGTACTTAGGGTGCTCAAATCCTCCCGTAGACAGCCAGCTGTCCCATCAGCCTCACAAGAGCCTGCAGAGCATATATTCTTCCTTCACAATCCGTGTAACTGATGGGCATGGAAGAGGTGCAGGGTCCTGGGCTGCCACCGCCATGGAGAGTCTTTTGAGAGTTTGGTTTGTTGGCATCAGTGAGAACATTGATACAGGCAAAGGCTCCCCCATACCCACCCCCATGCCCCATACCCGACTGGCAGTCGACTTTGTAAGATCTGGGGTGTCATACTGCTTCCTGCTTTTGAAACTGGAGGCTAGAGCTCCTCAGCTTCTGTGGGAAGTACCCACTTTTAGTTTTCCTGAAACTGTCAGCCTGGGTGCTGTCACCTCTCAGCACACCTTCTGGCAGCCCCATCCCTTCCCTGTGGCGGGGAGTTGGTCAGACATTGAGGCAGAGGAGAAGGAAATGAAGCAGGGATGGGGAGTCTGCTGGATTGGTTGCCACATTTTGCTGGGGAGGCATGTGCTGGCTGAAGCCCTCTGCCTTACGTGGCTCTTGGGTGAGAAGGTGATTTTGTAAGTGGGGGTTAGACAGGTACGTCTTCTATGTCTTAGTATTTGTCTCTGTCCCTTTGTCCTGTCTCGTAATAGCCATTCTCCCCTCTCTTGATTTCTTAAAGTGGCGATGGGTTTTGTTCCTTTCATCACTAGCATAGCATTTAAATATAGTAAATGGTTTAAATAAAATATTTGGTCAGTTTGTCGTGCATACAGACTTGCTTTAGACTGTTTTCAGGCCATAGGCAAAAATAAACCATTTGGTACTTAGCCATAAATCCTGTCAGTACTTGTCTTCCAAACTAGTATTGGAAAACCAGTGGTGTTCCTTATCTTGCGGAAAGAGATGGCCAAACTATTCCTCCTTGGTCTTCCAGTTGGTCCACTGAGAATCCTGACTTCCCTCAGCAGTTTTATCTGTTTTGCTTAAAGGGTTTTAACTTTTTTTTTTTTTTTGCGCTCTTAATACTTACAGCTTTTGCTTAGATGGATTGTAAAACTTGTAGGTCATATTTTTACTCCTCTGGCACTTTCCAGAGTCAAAGTAGCACTGATGACACCAAGCATCAGAGGCTTAAAAAAATATGGTATTGGTGGCAATGTTGGATTTCATTCAAACACCCCAGTGATGAATAGTAGTAACATTTACTACACGTTTATTATGCACAGGTATTGTTCTAAGAACTCTCTTTATAACTAGTCTTTAAAGTAAGTACTATATTTATCCCCATTCTACAGATGAGTAAACTGAGGCTTGCTTTGTTGTTGGGATTTGAACTCAGGGAGGCTGGTTCTGAAGACTGATCTTAACCTTGTAGAGCAACGCTGATTATAGAAGTAGTTAGATGCTCTTTGTAGAAAATGTAGAAGAGAAAATAAAAAATGTTTATAGGCCCATTACCCAGAGACAAATGCTAACATTTTGGTGTTTTCTTTTCTTGTACTTTTTAAAAAACGTGGTTTATCCTATCACGTATATGGTCATGCATACTTTTTCCATTTAATAGCATTTTCCCTGTGCTATAATCCCTAAGTCTAACATTTAATGGCTATAGCATATTGTGTCAGATAGCTGTACTATAATTGACTCTAAAATTTAATTATTCCCCATTTACTGTTTGTGTTATTTCTAGTTTTCTAGCTTTTTGTAAAATTGGAACATTCTCTTAAGGGAAAATTTAAGTTGCTTGATAAAAATTGTCAAAGTTTTTTGCCAAAATGTACTATTTTGTATAAACACCAGCAGTGACAAATGTAGCCTTGCCAGCATTGAGTATTGTTTACAAGTATCTTCTAATTTGATAGCTTAATAAAATCTGACTTTAATGTATATTTCTGCGGTTTCTTCCCAAGTTTGCTTGTTTTATATAAGCTTATTAGTCATGTATAGTTATCTTCTGTGATCTGTGATGTGTGTTCATTCTCTTGGGGGTCTTGGGACTCGATTACTTTAAGATTGGTGGTTTTACGTCCAGTCTCGAGGTGAGGTCTGTTCAAATGTCACAACCCCTCTTTTTGGGTGATAGTGAGGAAGGGGAGCAGGGATTGCAGATGCACTGCTCAGGGAAGGAGCGCCCACTATCCTGTATCCTTCATTAAAGCCATGCCTGGGGCTGGAGCGGGACGAAATCAGGCTCACAGGCCCGAATACAGAGCATGCGTGAAGGAGGGTTGGCGAAGTCTTTCTCCCTTTTGTTTTTTTAAACAAAACAAAGTGGAGTTTCTTAAGGATAGAGACAGGATCTGGTAGTGTGTTTGTGTCCCCATCCAGCCCCCAGCAGACTGTTCTGTGGTAGACACTCAGGGAGTTCTTTCTAACTTGACAACGCTCAGTGCCCATCCTGTTGTAGAAACCCAGCACGGCAGTGGAGTATCTCGCAGCCCACCTCTCCAAAATCCACGGCCTGGACTGGCACCCAGACATTGAGCACGTTCTTGCTACCTCCAGTCAGGACAACTCTGTCAAGGTGAGTGACCCCCAGGGACAGTTGGGGGAGCTGCGTGTGGGAGGCATCAGATTGTCTAGCAGCACTTTGTTGGGAAGGAAAGCCGCACTAAGCACAGTGTGTGTGCTGTAGGGGGCTGGGCAAGCAGGCGGGGCTGCGTGGGCCAGTAGGGACGATGGAGTCGCATGTCTCTGATGGGGCTCCTGGGATTTGCTCAGAGCGATTTCTTTCCCTTCGTGAAGGGAAGTCAGAGACTAAACCATTTAGAAAGGAGGAGTTTATTTGCCAGGAAGTTGCCAGGAAGTGAGATTTCAGGAAAAAAAACCACCAACCCAAACCAGATATATCAGTAAAGGAAAAAAGCCCACAAAATTGTAAAGGTTACCAAGTTTATGATTAGTCTCCCTGGGCTGGAAACCCAGCAATTTTCTCAGATCATTATCATATCTGCAAAAGTTAGGACATCGTCAGTCAGCATTGCTACAGTCAGGGATAGAGTTGTTTTACTAGAGATTCTCTCTAACTTACAGGAAATGCTCCAGGGTTTATGTTGTTTCTGTGACCCTATTATTTTTGGTTTATCTCAGAGCACAGCATTTCTTGTTGTTTGTTTTTCCTGTCCTGACTCTGGGATGTGGTGCCTTTAGAAGGATGCAGGGCACAGGGCCAGCCTCGTTCCACAGGCCCTCCTTGTGGTCAGGTCCCTGTCTGAAAGGACAGAAATTTGACCACAGAAGTTTGCTTAGCAATTGTGTGATTCAGCATCATTAACGTAATGCTTTGTTTACATGGGCACATGGACGATGTCATTTTTTGGTATGGTGAGCAAAATTAGAATCATAACACTAAGGCCTAAAAAGTTAACTTCTGTCTTGAGGTTTGTAAATCCCTTAGGGTTGTCATTTACTTTTATGTGCCAGAGTGGGTTTTTTTGGTCTGTTTTGGGTTTGGGTTTTTGTCACCTTGTCATCCAAGTTCAGAACCCAGAAACCATCCAGTTCCCCTCCTCCTCTTTCCTCAAGTGTGTCGCTCTTCAGTGACATCTCTATCACCTGTGAGGCTGGATTCCATGGGTATTGAAGCAACAGACCAGTTTCCACATGTGAGACTCAGTCCTTGTTCCTTACTTGTAGGCTGAGCTTATGAATTAAATGAGTCTTTAAAAAAATTTTTTTTGTAAGATTTTTTTGATTTATTTGATAGTGAGAAACAGCGAGAGAGGGAACACAAGCAGGAGGAGTGGGAGAGGGAGAAGCAGGCTTCCTGCCAAGCAGGGAGCCCAATGAGGGGCTCGATCCCAGGACCCTGGGACCATGACCTGAGCCGAAGGCAGACACTTAATGACTGAGCCACCCAGGCGCCCCGAGACTTCTGACATGGTTATTTGATTTATTTCACTATATCCTGGTGGAAGGAAGACAGTTTTTATTGAATGTATATAAATAGCATAATTGTAAAAAGTGAAGCAGTTTTAGAGGCACTTTGCATAATATTCACCGATCATTTTTAGTTATTTGTAGATCAGGATCAATATGTCATTTTTTCCTACATAATCATTTTCTTAAGTTTACCTGATGATAGGTTAGCTCATAATTTGTAGTAATACATTTTTGTTATATTTTTATTTTCTGAATTGAAGGGGTACGCTGGAACAAGATACCATTGAATGAATGTTTCACCTGAGTTTATAAATTATTAAACTGTGAAACTGTTGAATTGAGGGTTAGAGCTAGATCGAGAAGAAAGAAAAGAATTTTTCTTATATGGCTATTAAAAGTAGACCATTAACCACAATGAGATGAATTCATATCAGTTTAATGATTTTTTTCCCCCCCGATCTTGGGTTAAACAGTCAATTTTACAACACTGCCTTCTTCTAGATGAAGAGTCCTGGAAATTCAGACACAGTTCCCTGGTCCATCCTGACATGTGTGTCTGCCTGTGGGTCAAGGTCAGCCTTCCCGAGAGTCCTGTACCCACGAGGCTGTTCAAGAACCTGGTTCTTTCTTGCCTTGCTCCTCTGGTATTTCTTCAGAAGCCTTCCTTTCTGATCTGTAGCTTGTAGCAAGGGCCTTTTGGCAGGGAAGAGAAAAGTAGAAATCACCTATGGACGAGAGGACGGCATGGCTGTTCTGGTTCTTACGGTGACCAGTCTGTCAGGTTGAAGCAGACTGAAGTCATTCACATGCAGCACATAATCATTTCATAAGACTGGTAGTTGTTGCCTTGAGAATAAGATCATGTTATGAAGTGAGTGAGGACTTGCTCAAATCCCCAGGGTCCTCTAACTTGTCCCATAATTATATGTTATAATTATATGGTATAATGCTCACCAATCGAGCGCATTTAAATCTGGAAACAAATCTTTTTTTTTTTAAAGGATCGATTTTGTTAACAGTTATCGTGACAGTCTGTAAATAAGCATGAAAAGGACCCAATTGCTGAAATATATTCATAGTACTAATAGTTTGCTTGTATGTGATTAACTTAGGGAGGTTGAACTTTTTTATTTGCTTGTTTTTCACATTGGTAGACTTGATAACAGGAAGACATTCACAAAGTGTTGATCTAATTAAAAGTCTGGAGAGTGCCAAGCCGACCTCATGATTTCTAGTTTCCCTTCTTTTGTAAGTTGAGGGAGCAAGTTATAGTTTTCCCTGTAGCCATCAGGGGAAACCCAGAAGCAGTTTAGATGGAAAACACATCTTAGGGGCGCCTGGGTGGCTCAGTCGTTAGGCGTCTGCCTTCGGCTCAGGTCATGACCCCAGGGTCCTGGGATCGAGCCCCACGTCCGGCTCCCTGCTCAGCGGGAAGCCTGCTTCTCCCTCTCCCACTCCCCCTGCTTGTGTTCCCTCTCTCACTGTCTCTCTCTCTGTCAAATAAATAAAACCTTTAAAAAAAAAAAAGAAAACACATCTTAACAATTTTATTATTTTGAATATGGAGTCTGAATTTGGCAAAAAGAGAGTTGTCAGAAGAAACAAGAATTACCTCATGTGATCCCTTTATAGTCACACCCTCCTCCAACCCCCAACTTTTAGCAGCCACTAATGTGTTCTCCATCACTGTAGTTTTGAGCAGGTCATTTATTTTTTTTTTTGAGATTAAAAAAAATTTTTTTATTAGTACAAGCAGGGGGAGCGGCAGGCAGAGGGAGAGGGAGAAGCAGGCTCCCCGCTGAGCAAGGAGCCCAATGCGGGCCTCGATCCTGGAATCATGACCTGAGCTGAAGGCAGACGCTTAACCGTCTGAGCCACCCAGGTGCCCCGAGAAGGTCATTTAAATGGAATGATGCAGGATGTAACTTTCTGAGTTGGCTTCTTTCACTCAGGATAGCACTTTCAAGATTCATCCAAGGTGTTTTAAGAATCGATAGATGATGTACTTTTAGTTGGCGAATAGTAATCCACTGTATGAATATGCTACAGTTTATTATGTGTTGACCCGTTGAAGAACATTGATTGGGCTGTTAGCACTTTTTGATGATTGTGAATAGAACTGCTATAAACATTCACATATAGATTTTCCTGTGAATGGAACTTTCCAGTTTTCCGGGACAAATAGGAGTTGGGAATCACTGAGTCAAATGATGTATGCATGTTTAACTTCTTAAGAAACTGCCAAACTGTCATCTATTTTTTGAAAATAATTTCTTAATACTGGAATAGTTCAGAGTTTCAGTTTTGGGCCTCCTGCCTTTGGTGTTTTACCATTTTCTGCTTCATGACAAATGCTCAGGCTCTAAGTATAGTTGTGTCTCTTCCTTGAAAGCACAGGCGTCTCTAAGGCAGAGTGTGTTGGGCTCACTCTGGGCATTCTGGAGCCTCACGTTCCGCATGGTCAGTGGCGGAGCGGGTGAGTGTGTACATGAGTGCGTTGGTGCCCAAGCGGCCACCTCTTTCCTGTGTGACCTTGGGCAAGTTAGATTGTTTAGTAATTTAGCTTCTACATTTGAGAAAGAACTGAATGACACCCATTATTTGGTTGTCGCAAAGATTAAATGGGATAAAAAAACCTAAAGCTCTCAACTCTGTCTGGAATGCAGTAAGTAGTCAGCACATCGGCTGTCTTTAGTCGTTACTTTGCCCTGCATGATGTAAAAGTGACACAGGGTGAAAGCTTGTCAGTCTGACCTTTCACCTGCAGGCCCATTTAATGGGCTGACGCTGATCTGCCCCGAGGGCTGGTCCTGGTGAGGTTGGGGAATTCTCCTGTAATGTTGATACACGGGAAAGGTTTTGTGTGTCTGCCCCTCTCCCCTAGCTAGGAGGGCTACCGGGAACACACTGAGGGCAGAGAGTGAAGGGACTGCAGGCTGCGCTTATTTCAATTGCAGTTTTTTCATGGTATTTATTTCACAAATTATCCTGTTTTCTTTCTTCCAGTTCTGGGATTACCGCCAGCCTCGGAAATACCTCAGTATTCTCCCTTGCCAGGTGCCTGTCTGGAAGGCCAGATACACTGTGAGTGGGACACACCACCTCCTGCTGGGGAACTTCACCTTAGTGTTCCAGACATGGGGGCCAAGGGCCCTTTTCTCTTATTTTCTTTGTGAGGCAGTTTTCTCTTTTTGTCTTGGCTGAGGGGTGGGGCAAAGGCGGTCATGACATGTCGGCCTAAACCTGGTATGTATTTAAAAACTTGCCCTTGGAATGTTGGGGAAGAATCTGTGGGAAAGTTGCTCACCATAGACTGGGAGGCCCAGGCGCATGCAGGTGGTCGCTAATGGCAGGGAAGGGGTAGAGGTGGTGCCAGAGAGTTGTGGGGCTTGCGGTCAGTAGATCGTGGTGGAAAGAAATCTGGCTTTAGATTCAGAAGACCTGGGTTTTGGGTCCATCCGTGCCTTTGAATTTTTTCTCAAGATTTACTGAGATGTAATTGACGTGTAACATTGTGTAAGTTCAAGATGTACACTTATTTCACTTAGCATAATGCCTTCAACCCCACCCATGTTGTGGCACATGACGGGATTTCCTTCTTTCTTGTGGCTGAATAATATTCCATTGTGTGTGTGTGTGTGTGTGTGTGTGTGTGTGTGTGTGTGTGTGGTGTAAGATACATCTTCTTTATCTGTTCATCCATTGATGGGCACTTAGATTGTTTCCATATTTGCAGTGAGCCATTTAATATTTGTGTGGCCTTGGGCAAGCTGCTGGATGCTCTTGAACAATACTTTCCTCCTCTGTAGCATATGAATATAATTTTTACCAGGCCTTCCTTTTTATTATTGTGATAAAATTTACCATTTTAAAGTACGCAATTCGGTGGCATTTAGCACACGCACGATTATGTCTTTCCTTTTGAAAAATGGTATGTGAAAGTGCTTTAGAAACCATAAAATGCTACAGATATAGGGGATAGGCTATTAGTCTTTCAGCAATTTTCCCATTGTCACATTGATAGCTTTTGATCAGAGATAATATATTTTCTTCAGTGTCAGCTTGAAAGGGAGTACAGGGATGAATAAAGCTGCCTTTATGCATTAGGCTGTCACCCTGAGGCGCTGTGGAACATAGAAGATAATTTAGGTATTAAATGGCTTTTGCATCTGGGAGTGCTTGTCAAGAAATCAGCCATTGTTCTTATGAATTAGAATACTTCTCTGGATTAATATGTTCACTTTAAAAAATAAACAGCGATGTCCAGGAGTGCTGCCAGGAGGGAAAGTGAAGATAAATGTGCTTTTAGGTGACTGTGGTTTATTCCTTCCAGGACAGAGTCTGCTTATCTACCAAATGGGCCCCCTTAGCTACGTAGCAGATTAGGTGTCGATAAGTAAAACGTGTCAATCCTGAAACTGGAGGGTTTCCCTCTGAATAGCTGTAGTTTTGGGGGCCGTGGGAAGGCGATGCTTTGTGTGGATGCTGTGCTTCTGGTGCATTTCCACATGGCAAGAACTCTGCTCGCTGCTCTGGGGTTTTCCCCAGTGTGTCTTGCATACTCGTTCTGGATGTGAAACAGTGTGTTCTGTTCAAAGCCATTTGCTTATTTTAGAATTTAAAGTTCTCCAAGTATTTGGCTTAGCTTTATTTTTTACTCGCTTTGGTCCCTTCCATGCACAGAAAAAGGGAATAAATGCAAAAGAAAAGTAGACGTGATGGTTAACTTGTGGTATTTGGAATACATTTCCCCAGATGGGTTGGGGCCTTCCATCATCTCATTTATGTTAGTTAGGAAAGCATTCCAACTTTGGTAATTCAAGATTCAGCTGACTCTCCCTGGAATAACCACCTGCTTTTCCCTTTCCTGCCGTAGCCTTTCAGCAATGGACTGGTGACTGTGATGGTCCCCCAGCTGCGGAGGGAAAATAGTCTCCTCTTGTGGAACGTCTTTGACTTGAACACCCCAGTCCACACGTTTGTGGGGCATGATGATGTGGTGCTGGAGTTCCAGTGGAGGAAACAGAAGGAGGGTGAGTGAGTGGGAGCCTGATTTCCTTCTGAGCCCTGTTCCACAGAAGCTCCAGTAGAGTTGGCCATGTGGTCCAGTGTGGAGGACATAGACCCCTCAGGTCTGGGCTTAAGGAATGGGAGTCAGGGGGACCGCCACCTACCCACTGTAGATGGGTAAAGGGGTGTGTGGCTGTGGCTTCTCTCCCAAGCTCCCGCTTCTTCTCTTAGGTTCAGTATCATCTCTCACCTGCGTGGAAGAGATCTGTAAGAGATGGATAGACTTGCTGTTGGATCATCCCTAGGGCTGAAAAACTCTGGGGTCACAATCCTCAGAAGCCTGGCGTTTGCTCCTTGCCACTCTGGGGAGGAAGGAGACCTGAGGTCATCATTAGCACCACCCACCACCACGTATGCCTAGTTCCCTTCACAATGCATAGTGGTCTTTTACCTCCCGCCTCCTTGAAGATGGGTTTGACCGCATGTCTTGCTTTGGTCATGAGACATGAACAGAGTGATACGATCTCTTCCGGGTTGAAGCATCAGCAGCCGTTGTACAATTACACGCTCTCTTTGCTTCTGCCACCACAACTGGCAAAACTCCAGCTGGAGCTGTGCCCATGAGCAAGATGTCCTTGCTTTAAGCCTCTGAGATTTGGGGATTGTTTGTTGTTGCAGCTTCAGCTAGCCAGCCCTCACTAATGCAGGGTCAAGTGTAATGGAGTCAGAAGCCCTCAGCCTCGGCTGCTCCACCAGCTCACTATGCAAACTTAGTTGCAGCCTCTCTTTTCCTGAGATCTTATTGTCACGATCTCTAAAGGAAGTATATTTCTTGGTCTTTCCATATTATGGAAGGAAAGCCAGGCAGTGGAGTGGTGTGACCCGTCCAGGGTCCCAGGAAAGGTTTCGGGTAGACCTGGGATTATAGCACTCATCTTATTCCGGCTTATTTGTGACCTTCGCAAGCCTCTCTTCCAGGATAGTTTTTGAAGGGACTCTTTTGATCATCCTCTTAATTTTCTCATCTTTATTTCCCGAATATCCCTGCTTCTAGGAACATGAGGCTGCTTGGTCTTTATCCCATTAATTTGCATGCATGACTTTGACTTTCAACTTCCTTTCTTTCTTGCATTTTGCCATCGTAAATAGATGAAGTCGTTTCCTCATAGTCTGGCAGGGAGAGGTTGGCCTGTAGTTTTGGCTTGAAACAAAGTTTTTAGCAACCCATTTTCAGTTATCTGTGTCATCTGTGAGCTGGCAGGCTGAATTGTGTACATGGGGGCCATCTAGTCAGTAGTGAGATTTTGAGTGCAAGTTACAGGTGTTTCTTCAAATTCTTTTTATTGTAAAGTGTATCATCTGTCCAGAAAATTGCATAAAACCTGTACAATCTTACAAATTTTGAAGTGAAAAATCTATGTAACTACCACCACAGACTAGAAAGGGAACATTACTTGAGCCCCAGATCACAGTCCTTTCCCTTTCCCAGAAGGAAACCTGTCCTAATATTTATGAGAGTGATTTCTGTTGTTATTTTTATAGTTTTGCCACCGTTTATGCATTCCTCAAAATAGTTTCAGCTCGCTTGTTGGACCTTTTGTAAATGTAATCCTCCTGCACGTATTCTTGTATTTTACTTCTTTTTCAACCACTGCTGCTCCATTTTATTTTACTTCCATGGCTTCTTAGTCAGTTTTTACTGGATTACCTCAAGCTTCGACTTGGGTTTTCACTGCGGTGCAGGAGCTCTTAGAGTGCTAGCAAGAGAATTGGGATGTCATGGCCAAGGGAAGGGGATGCTTCGTGAAGGAAGCTCCAGTCACTGGTTTCGGATGTTGCTGAAGGAGCAAGGTGCAGAGTAAGAAGAAAGCACTTAGCGGTACAAATAGGAACCAATGTGATCATTAAGAGACGAGTTCCAGAATCAGATTGAGGCTAGAAGCCGGATTGTAAGGCAACATGAACAGAGGCAGCAGGAACTGGTTTTGTGAATGAAGTCGGCTTCACAGGCCAGGAGCAGACTAAGTTGATCTTAGAGCTGCTGCCCTCTCTGTCTGAGGGCAAGGAGAGGGTGCAAGAGAGGCGGTACGTGGGAAGGCAAGGGCCCTTGGAATGGGGGTGAAGGCGCTGGTGGAGGGGTTGGGATTAGAATGGAATTAGGGATAACTTTTCTCCACAGTCAGGGACATGAAAAGAAGCCAGATGTGAACGCAGACGATTGCTGACGTGAACATGAGTCTGTACAGGGTCCAGGGGACTCCTGGCAGGCAGCCGTTCAGAAGACTTGTGTCCTCTCAGGCACACGCAAGAATACAGCAACACGCTGAGGAGCGAAGGCCCAGCTGAGGGCAGTGACACAGGGAAGGAACTTCTGCCCCTCACCCACCCACCCTTTTAGCTTGGCCACATCATGTTCTCTGCTGCCTCTATTTTCCCATCTGTAAAATGAAGGAATTGGATGAAATTCAATTCTAAACTCTTTTAAATTCTTTGCTCTCTAAGGATGGCCATAAAGGAGATTCTCGATATGACCTAATTACTCAGAAATGCCCTGATCCTTTCATAAAGCTCCCTCAACGATTTTAGAATAGTTTCCCTCTGACCAGACCTGATATATGGAAATATAACTCAGTCAATTAAGAACACTCAAGATTGATTATCCTTTTTTTTTTTTTTAAGATTTTATTTATTTATTTATTCGACAGAGAGATAGCAAGAGCAGGAACACAAGCAGGGGGATTGGGAGAGGGAGAAGCAGGCCCCCCACCGAGCAGGGAGCCTGATGCGGGGCTGGATCCCAGGACCCTGGGATCATGACCTGAGCCGAAGGCAGACGCTTAACGACTGAGCCACCCAGGCGCCCCGATTGATTATCCATTTTATAAAGAGATGCATCTCTTTACCAAAAAATTCTTTTAAACAGCACGGTGCCGTTATGCATTTAAAGCAATTCGTTTCACAGAAGTCATATTCATGCTCAGCTCCTCTGGAGCATATAAAAGGAGGAACATTTGTGGAGGCGAAAGTTCAATGTGACGTTAAATCCCAGCATCCCTCTTCACCTGCTGAGCTGCCAGATATTATTTCACTTCATTTAAGTTTCTGTTCAAATGTGACTTCCTCAGGGAGGTCTCTCTAAAAATAGCTCCGCCATCAGTTCTCTAATCCTGGGTGTTATGTTTTCTTACTTTTCTTTTTTTTTTTTTTTTAATAACACTTGTCACACCAGACATTTTTTTTTGTATTTTTTTTTTGTCTGTTGCCACCACTGGATTGTGAGATCTATAAGGACAGAGACTGTAGTATTCATGCTTGTCCTAGTACCTAGAGCAGTGCCTAACGTCTAGGAGATGGTCAACAAGTATTTGTTGAATGGATGGATAAAGGAATCTCACCCCATTGCAACCTGTAGCAATACTAATGTTGAATTAAAAAAAAAAAAAATTCCAGGGGCACCTGGGTGGCTCAGTCGTTAAGCGTCTGCCTTCGGCTCAGGTCATGATCCCAGAGTCCTGGGATCGAAGCCCGCATCGGGCTCCCTGCTCCACAGGAAGCCTGCTTCTCCCTCTCCCACTCCCCCTGCTATATTCCCTCTCTTGCTGTGTCTCTCTCTGTCAAATAAATAAAATCTTAAAAAATTCCAGGATTATTATTTGGTGATTTCTAGGGTCCAAGGACTACCAGCTGGTTACGTGGTCACGGGATCAGACCTTGAGAATGTGGCGAGTGGATTCCCAGATGCAGAGGGTATGTATTCAGTGCTGTTGTGGAGGAATGTAACTGGGTACGCTAGAAACTTAAAAAAAAGACAAGGTTTAGTACTTGTGGGAGTTAGAGGATACGTGAGAGACCTTTACTAATACTTGCTGGTTGGCTGAGTGGCTTGTGTAGGCCACATGGAGGCTTTGCGATCTTCAGGAGCCCGTGTTGGGTACTTCTTAAGTGTGAAAAGCCTCTGACTGCCTTTTCTCATGTCCCGGTGTGAGAGTGTGGGTAGCCGACTGAGCAAATGGCCCGTGGGCTTCATTTCTTTCTCTTCTTCTAAATGAACTAGAATGTCTAACCTTAGGGCCTACAGTGTCCAGAGCCCTTTACTTCCATCAGCGGCACCTGTCCTATGAAGCCCTTTTCAGTTTTTGCCCCATAAATGATACCTGTTTCTTAGACGAACCGCAGTGGTTGGTACCTGGTATGAACTGCCGTGGCCCTTGCTGTGCTCTGCCTCAACATGGTTCTTCCATTCCATGGCAACATTCCGTAACGGCCAGAACTGTGCCTCCTTGTGCTGCCTCCCCCCCAGTGCTCTGTAGAGGATAGATAGAAAATGCTGCGTAAAATTTTCAACCCTGCAGGGTGCCTGGCTGGCTCAGTTGGTAGAGCATGCAACTCCTTCTTTTTTTTTTTTTTTTGGTGCCAAAACCTGGGAACAAGAGCATGCAACTCTCTTTTTAATACTTTTTAAGTTAATTAATTAGAGAGATCAGGCGTGGGGGCTGGGGAAGAGCAGAGGGGGAAGGAGAGGGACAAGCAAACTCATGGCTGAGTAGAGAGCCCAATGTGGGCCTCAGTCCCATGATCCTGAGATTCACGAGCCCCACATTGGGTGTAGAAATAACTTAAAAATCAATCAATCAATCAATCAGTCTTAAAAAAAAATTTTGCAACACTGCTCAGTACAAAGTCACGCTTGAGCATTTTGTTTAAGTATCATCACCTTACTGCCTTTCAAATATATTTTTTCCAGAAAGTACCATTTGTTCATTTTTGGTCTTGGGTTAGCTGAGCAACTCCATAAAGGCTTGGAATGTAAAGTAATGTTTTCTGAGGCTTGCACAAACTATGAACAGGATGAAAAATTTCCAGGGTAGCTAAAAGTCTGTTCTCCTGTGTATTTCATCAGGGAGATTTGGTGGAGGGTAAAACCTATTCTGATTGTATCGGTTTTTGGCCGACATCTTTAGCCTTTGTGATTCCCATTTTTAAGTCAGAACCCTAACCAGACATGATGATCATTTCCACTGACATCTGTAGACCTAGATCTTCTACCCTTTGTTGCAGCTTTGTGCAAACGACATATTAGATGGTGTCGATGAGTTCATTGAGAGCATTTCTCTTCTGCCGGAACCAGAGAAGACCCTTCACACGCAAGATATAGATCACCAGCACAGCTTGAGCCACGGGGAGGAAGAAGGTAATCGGTCAAACAGGTGTTTCAGGGGAAGTGCCCCTCTGTGCATCTCAGAGTTACGGCAGATAACCTAGAACGGCTCTCGGACCCATTTTCAAAAGCGTTTTCCAACAACTGAAGAACCTCTCTCTCCTGCTAGTCTTAAAGGAAGACCCCCCGAGCAGTGTCCTGGAAGAGAATAAATCGGAGCAGCCAGGGCTGCCTCAGACTCTGCAGCAAGAGTTCTCGCTGATCAACGTGCAGATCCGGAACGTCAATGTGGAGGTGCTCACTCGTTTACGGCCTCGTTCCCCTGCTTGCAGATGGCAGTCGGGGGGCGAGGGGACTCTTTCAGCTCTGGTCTCAGCTAGCAAAGAGCTTTGCTGCACCAACAAGTGAATCTCTCTGCTTGCTTTTTTATTTTCTAGGTTTTCTAGAGAAATAGATGTTTTACAAATGCAAATTATAGTCTTACCATAGTGTTTTCTCGTAAGATGAACCAAGGAATAAACCGATGCTCATGTGTCTTGAAATCCTCTTAGCTGCTCCAACGCCTCATTTTACCATGTGTGAAGTTACTTAGAGCCAGGAAGACTTAGTGATTTGGCAGGTTACTGGTATAGTTAGTGGTAGAGCTGAATTTGGAAGCCAAACCTCCTGACCACCACCCCCACCAGGTTCTTTGGACTCTGCTGTACTGTCTGCCTTTAAAGGTGGTCATTTCCTTAATGACTTAGATTCATAGTAAGAAGGTCACCAAACCTCTTTGTTCATTTAACACATGGAAAGGTTTACTCTCTTCCTTTTGGGGAGGTATTGAAATGCTTTGCTTCAGAAAATTGAGTCTGTGAAGGAGTTTTGAAGTTTGATTTCTTTTTTGCCCACATTCAACTAACAGTAGGTATGGATATGTGCATGTGCATAATTATCTCCTTTGGCCTTTTTGGGAGGAGGGGGGCAGAGGGACAGAGAGAATCCCAAGCAGGCTCCACGCCCAGCACGTAACCCAACGCAGGGCTCCCATCTCACAGCCCTGAGCTCATGACCTGAGCTGAAATCAAGAATCAGATGCTTAAACCAATTGAGCCATCCAGGTGGGCGAGGATTGGCGTTTATTTATTTTTTAATTTTTTTATTTAAGATTTTATTTGTTTGACAGAGAGACAGCGAGAGAGGGAACACAAGCAGGGGGAGCAGGAGAGGGAGAAGCAGGCTTCCCGCGGAGCAGGGAGCCCGATGAGGGGCTAGATCCCAGGACCCTGGGACCACGACCCGAGCCAAAGGCAGACGCTTAACGACTGAGCCACCCAGGCGCCCTTCCTTTGGCGTTTAAAACAACTCTGCAATACATGCTTTTCTCCCTACTTTACAAAAGAGGAAACAGACACTAAGAGATGTAATGACTTGTCTGAAGTCAGCAGCTGTTTGGTAGAAGAGATACTATTTGAATCTGTCTCCAGATTTCCCACGTGTGTGCCTTTTTTCGCTCTACTCCAGCTGCCTTCTCTGGTTGGCAGCCCAAGAAATAGAGAGAGAAAGGATTCTTTGATTAATTGGTTACCTGTATCAATTCAGATCGTAACCCTTTGTTGAGAACAGTTGAGAACAGTGTGGATAGCCAAGTGATTCTAGTTTAAGAAGGAGATCTTGATTCCTTTTCCAGGAGTGCTTTTTTAAAAGTATTGAGATAAAATTCATGTACCATAAAATTTACCCTTCTAAAGTGTACAATTTGGTGGTTCATAGTATAATCACAGAGCTGTGCCACCATCACCCCTAATTCCAGAGCATTTTCATCATTTCATCATTCCTTAAAAATCCTATCAGCAGTCACATCCCATTTCCCAAGCCCCCGCCCCTGGCACCCACTAATCCACCTTCTGTCTCCATGGATTTTCCCAGGAGTGCTTTTTAACTCGAGTCCGGTATTTCAGTTTCTTCCTGCTTTATTTTCTCATCTCAAAATAAATGTAACAAGTTTCGGTTCTACCTCACAGCTTCAGGCTGAAGCTTTTTTAAGTCAAAATACTTTGAACTTATTAAATCAGTGCTAAAATTAAAAATCTGTCTTAAACATAGGTTGTCTAAATCTTCCAAATTCATTTGTCTCTGGAGAGTCTCCCTTTGCCCAGGTCCCGGGAACCTAGAGCTTGCAGTTAACTTGTTTAAATTCATTTGCGTCCGGAAATGCCCGATGGTTCATCTCCCGAGCAGTTGTCCCTTTGTCATCTGCAGATGGACGCGGCGGATAGGAGCTGCACGGTGTCCGTGCACTGCAGTGGCCACCGTGTCAAGATGCTGGTGAAGTTCCCCGCGCAGTACCCCAACAACGCTGCCCCTTCCTTCCAGTTTATCAACCCCACAACCATCACATCCACGATGAAAGCGAAGCTGCTGAAGGTGGGGGTCTGTGTTCACACATTCTCCTTAGTGTAAGAGGAAACGTCTGTTCACAGGCATCAGCATCTAAGTTGAGTGGTAAAGTTGAATGAAAACTCCAGTAGATAAGATTTGAAAGTCATTGTGTGTCTGTGCTTCAGCGTTAACTTCATTGTGTATGGAAAACATCAGAGCAGTCGTTCTTAACCTTTTTGGATCATGGACCCCCTTCGAACATCCAGTGAAAACAGTGGACCCTTCCCCAGAGAAATTTGCACAAATGTTGTACATAATTTAGAAATATAGTTGTAGTTCTATAGTTATATATAACCTGCTCATAGATGTCCTTGAAGTTATGCATTAATCCCTGGTTAAGAACCCTGCAGTACATTTTCATTTATCTGGAAACAGTAGGCAAGATGTATTCTGAAGCTAAAAGGTATTTTATCATCGGAAAACAAGGGGCACCTGAGTGGCTCAGTTGAGCATCCAATTCTTGATCTCAGTTCAGGTCTTGATTTCAGGGTCGTGAGTTCAAGTCCTGCTTTGGGCCCCATGCTGGGCATGGAGCCTACTTACAAACAAAAACAAAATGTAAGGCAATAAAAAAAAAAATCCATTCCAAGAAAGGAAGTGGTGTCATCCTCAGGTGAGGCTGGCTGGCTGCCCAGGTGAGGTATCTGAAGGGATGGCGGTGCCTGAATGGAGGTGGACTAGCCTGGCATCTGGTCCTTGCTCCTGCAGCCTCAGAAACTTGCTTTGGCAGTTCTAATCAGAGCTAATCAGGCAGAATCTCCCATTAAAAAAGCCCCACAAGCTGGGCATGATACACCTTTTTCAGTTTGAGCAGCGTCATGAGTGAAGTAACTGAAATGTCCTGACAAACCAAGATGACCCAAATGCTACACATCCTTTGCCTAATTTGTATCATACACACTTGACCCATCTTTCTGGGGGAAGATACGTAACCAAGAAAATTTTCAAGTGGTGTAAGGATCTCTCAAATGCTACTCTGATTTTGTAGTATAGGTGCATTTTGTGCTTGGAAATTTTTATTTTTCATCCAAGTATAATATGTAGTGTTATATTAAATTAGTTTCAGGTGTACAATAATAGTGATTCAGCAATTCTGTACATCACCTGGTGCTCATCATGACAAGCGGACTCCTTAATCCCCATCACCTGTTTCACCCATCCCCCACCCACCTGCCCTCTGGTGACCAACTGTTCTCTATATTTGGGAGTCTGTTTTTTGTTTTTCTGTACTTGGAATTTGAATATTTCATTGTCTTATTTGCACATACAAAAAAGATGTTCCTATTGTTATTAAAATGATAGGATTAAAAAATGATAGGATTAGGAAGTATCTTTAAAGGTCAATTCAGTGCTGCCTGATAAAAATATAATGCAGGCTACACGTAATTTAAAATTTTCTAGTAGCCACACTAAAAAAAAAAAAAATTGAAAGTAGCAGGTAAATTAATTTCAGTAATATTTTTACTTAAGTATATGCAAAGTATTCTCATCTCAGCATGTAGTCCATATAAAAATTATTGCGAGAGTTTGCATTCTCTTTTTCGTACTAAGCCTTCAACACTCGGTATGAATTTTACACTTACAGCACATTTCAATTCAGCACACACCTAACAACTGAGGCTGGCCCTTTCCTTTTCTTTCTATTTTTTTTTTTTTAAAGATTTTATTTATTTGAGAGAGAGCAAATAGGGGAGTGGGGCAGAGGGAGAGGAAGAAGCAGACTCCCTGCTGAGCAGGTAGCCTGAAGCTGGGCTTAGTCCCAGCACCCTCGAGATCGTGACTCCAGCTGAAGGCAGACGCTTAACCGACTGAGCCACCCAGGTGCCCCAACACATCTGAATTCAGACTACCTCACTTCACCTGCTGTGTAGCTGCATGTGGGTAATGACTTCCATATTGGACCACGCAGGCCCAGTTTACACACCTGTCTTCAGTATGTGTATGTCAGTTTATGTCTATAGCATGTGCCTTAAAATGTTAGGATTTATATTTTTAAAGAAGCAAAAAGAAAAAAAGATACATTGTAATTTCCACCGAAGTGAAATCTGTTCCCCCTGGCTTGTATTGGGTATTACTTCTAGGATACTGAAATTTTCATGAGGGGGTAGGGGTTCAGCTAGGAGAGGAAAGGAGTAGAATTCACGAGAAAGAAATGTGTGCTCTTAGGCTTTGTGTGCCTGCCCTGGCTAAGGAGAGGGCTTCTCGAATGTGCTCTGTGAGCCTCTAGAGCCAGGTGGAAAGTAGGATGCCAAAGCCTCAGACACAGCTCCAGTCTCCCTGCATCTTCACGACTTCCCACGGCTTTGAAGAAGAAAAGTGAATCAGGAGAAGGAATGTTGCTATTCTTGACTGTGTTTCGTGCCTTTTCTAGATCCTGAAAGACACTTCCCTGCAAAAAGTGAAACGAAACCAGAGTTGTTTGGAGCCCTGCCTGCGCCAGCTCGTCTCCTGCCTTGAGTCTTTCGTGGTGGGATTCTTGTACCAACCTATGCTTTGATGTTTTGTTTCGTTTCTTCCTCCCCAAACTAATGTATCCTTATTTTGTAAGTCAGCTTTAAGACAGCTTCTGGTTTTTAGTCTGTTAACTTTTAAATTTCAGAACCAAGAAGACAGCACTTCCAGCAACCCCTTTGCACTCCCAAACTCTGTTACTCCGCCCTTACCAACGTTTGCCCGAGTGACCACTGCCTATGGGTCATACCAGGATGCCAATATTCCCTTCCCTAGGACCTCGGGGGCCAGGTTCTGTGGAGCAGGTTGGTCTCTTTTTTGGTTCTCTGATTCTAGATTTTGAGAGCAAGAAGCCCAGAATGTCCTGTAGTCTGTAAAGAAATCTCAGAAAAATCAGGAAATTTTCATTTGTTTCTGTTTCCTGGGAACTCAAAAGACTGCTGTAGTGTTAAGTGGTCTGATGCTGAATCGGCTTCTGTGGACATATCCTAGGAATGTTCAACAAAATTACAGTTTTAATTTTTTTCATTCTGGTGAGCATGAATTTGAGTCTAATTCAGATCCCTGATTCTCAACACAGGACGGGTCCCCTAGCAAAGAAATATAAAGTACCGAGAAGATTTTTTCCACACCACACACATCCCATCCCTCCTGGATCCTAGAGATTCTGACCTTTGTCCTTGTTACATATGGCCACAGTCAGGAATGACTAGGGCCTCCTTAGGATTTCCCACGTGCAGCTCATTGACCCTGATGTGCACATGTGTGTCTCCTTTGTCAGGGTTTCTGGTGTATTTCACAAGGCCAATGACGATGCATCGAGCAGTGTCTCCGACAGAACCTACTCCGAGGTGAGCTTGGGAGATGCAGATGGCAGCTGCATTCATGGGGCCATAAGTGGGCAGACATCTGGGAATGAGCACTGAGTTTGTCTTTGGACAAGTGGTTTTAGTTCTTCAGTAAATACACTAAGATTTTTTTTTTAAGATTTTATTTATTTGACACACACAGGCACCCCCCACTCTAAGAATTTATTCATGAAAGATTAGGTTCACGAAATTGCCACTAAGCTGAGATTTGGGAGATCTGGTTACTACCAAACCACCAGAAGAAGTACTTTGATAAAAGCTGTTGTCAAAACAAGGCAAATTTTTTTTTAATGTGCTTTTCCCCTATTGCTAAAGTATTATTTGAACATTAAATAAAAATAAAAAAGTAACAAAAAAGATCATCTACAGGTCCACAACTCCGATACACCACTTCTAACATTACCGAAACATGTTAAATTTTTAAAAATGATGTTAAGTGGTTGGAAAAACTCACAATATGGAAATTTTAAATTAAAATTTGAAAGCTGGGGCACCTGGGTGGCTCAGTTGTTAAGCGTCTGCCTTCGGCTCAGGTGATGATCCCAGGGTCCTGGGATCAAGCCCTGCGTTGGGCTCCCTGCTCTGCGGGAAGTCTGCTTCTCCCTCTCCCGCTCCCCCTGCTTGTGTTCCCTCTCTCACTGTGTCTCTCTCTGTCAAATAAATAAATAAAATCTTAAAAAAAAAGGAAAAAAAGGTCTTTAAAAAAATAAAATTTGAAAGCTTTCCTTTTCCTTGGCGAGTCACTGTTAGCAATTTAATATGCTTTCTGTCTGGTCTCCATTATTTTTCTGTGTGTGGGTTTTTGGTTTATTTGTTTTGTTCTGTTTTTAAGAGGCAATCTAAAGTAACAAATGGGAATATGGACTTTGGAGCCAAGCCACGGGGTCCCCATCTTGGTCCTGCTGTTCTGTGACCGTAGGCAAGTTACTAAACTGTGCTTGAGTTTCCTCAACAATAACTTGGGGATGATAGTGGCACCTACCGCCTTCAGCTGCTGGGAAGATTAAATGTGTTAATCCCTGAGAAGCATTTAGAACCATGCCTGGCACATTGCTCTGTGTTTCCTATTACTACTACTGGTTGTATTTTTTGTTCTTGTTTTTGGTTTTTTTTATGTTTTTACTGTTTTATTGAGATATAAGTCACATAGTATATAGTTGACCCATTTAAAATAATTCAGTGGCTTGTTGTATATTCACAGATACAGACAGAAGGTAGATAGTGTTTACCCAGCCCTGGAGGAATGGGGGACTTGGGAGTGTTGACAGCTGGGGGATGCAGTTTCTTTGGGGGGTCATTAAAAATGTTCTAGAACTGACTATAGTGATGGCTGCGCATAAATTCGCCTATTCTGGGCATTTTGTATAAATAGAATCATATAGTTATGTGGTCCTTTGTGACTGGCTTCTTCGCTTAGTGTAATGTTTTCAATGCTCATACATGTAGCATGTGTCAGAACTTCCTTTCTTTTCATTGCCAGATAATATTCTATCATATGTATATGCCACATTTTCTTTATTTATTCATCAGTCAGTAGATGTTTGGGTTATTTCCTCTTTTTGGCTATTATGAATGATGCTGCTATGAGCATTTGTAAGTTTTTGTGAGGGCCTAGATTTTCATTTCTCTCAGGTATATATGTAGGAGTGGAATTGCTGGGTCATATAGTAAAGGGTTTTTTTCTTCATTAATCAATTTTATGTTTTAGAACAGTTTTAAGCATATAGCAAAATTGAGTGGAAAGTCCAGAGAGTTCTAGTATACATCTCTGAACCCACACATGCACAACCTCCCCTATACCACTGGTTTTTTAAGCTTAAATGTTATCAGTTATATATGATAGACTTCTGGTTCTGCGGTGGGGCAGCCAGGATAACACGGAAGCCTTCCCACTGTAAACACCTGGGTGTGCTGGATGTAATATAATCAGCATATTTCCAGGAAAGAAAGGAGATTGAACTGCTGTCCCGAGAGTCTGTCAATCTCTGCAGTAACCTAGGCAGATGAGACCTTGGCCAACAGGACTAGGGAGTTAAGTGTCAGAGACCCCATATGCTACTTTGGGTTCTTTATTTGAAAGATTGTACTAAAAAACAATCGCCTACTCTCAAAGGGAAACAAGAATATGTGTATCTGGGCTTTGGATCAGAACAGCATTTTATTGAGGTATAATTTACAGTACACGAATTTGAAATGTATACCTTGATGACCAGCACCCAGACCAAGATACAGAGCAAGGGTTCCCTGTCCTTTCACCCAGAGGAAACCAGTCTTGTGACTTCCATCATTGTAGTTTTAGTTTTGCCTGTGCTTGAGCTTCATCTAAATAGAACATCATGCAGTGTGTGCTATTTTATGTCTTACGTATTTTGTTCAACTTAATGTTTTGGTTTTGGGATTTTATTTGAGAAAGAGAGAATGAGTGGGGGGTGGGGCAGATGGAGAGGGAGAGGGAGAAGCAGGCTTCCCGCCGAACAAGGATCCTGGCATGGGGCTGGATCCCAGGACCCTGAGATCATGATCTGAGCCAAATGCAGATGCTTAACCGACTGGGCCACCCAGGCGCCCCCAACTTAATGTTTTTGAAATGGATCCATATAGTTGTATATGTCAGTGGTTCCACTGTATGAAATAATACAGTTTGTTTTATCATTCTCCTCTTCAGGGATATTTGGATTATTTCCAGTTTGGGGCTATTATGAGTAGATCTACACATTCAGGTCTTTTTTTTTTTTCATGTATATTAATTTCTCTACCCAAGGACTAGAATCCTTGGGTCCTAGGATAGGTGTATGTATGATTTTTGTTTTTAGCATTGCCAAAAAATCTGTCCCCAGTGGTTGTGCCATCTTACCAGCAATGTTTCAGAGTTCTGGTTGCTCCACATTCTCTCCAAAATTTGGTGTTTTCAGTCTTTTCAACTTCAGCCATTGTGGTGGGTATGTGGTATCTCATCCTGGTGATGACTAGTGATGTTGGGCAGCTTTTGTGTGCTCGTTGACCATTTGGGTATCTTCTTTTGTGATATGCCTGTTCAAGTATTTTGCCCATTTCTTTAGGACTGTGTTCCTTATTATTTATTTGTGGTTGTTTTTTATTCTGGTTGTAAATCCTTTGCTTGAAGTATGTATCGATTTTCTCTTAATCTGTTGCTTGTCTTTCTCCTTCCCTAATGATTTTTGATAAACAGAAGTTTTTAATTTTGATGAAGTCCAACCTGTCACTTTAAAAATTTAATGGTTAGTGTCTTTGTGTTGTAGAAAAACAATCTTAGCCTACCTAAGGTCACAAAAATATTCTTCCATTTTCTTTTAAAAATTTATGGTTTTAGACTCCTTATTTAAGGCCTGTAGTCAATCTCAAATTAATTTTTGTGTATGATGTGAAATAGGGGCCTAAGCTCACTTTTTTCAGTAGAGATACATAATTGTTCCAGCACCATTCATGGAAAAAATTTCACTTTTCTCATTGAATTTGCATTGATTTAAAAAAAATTGCATTGGGACGCTGATGGTTCAGTCTGTTAAGCGTCTACCTTTGGCTCAGGTCATGATCCCGGGGTACTCGGATCAAGCCCTAGGTTGGGTTCCCTGCTTAGTGGGGAGTCTGCTTCTCCCTCTCCCTCTGTCCCTCCCCTCACTTATGCTGTCTTTCTCTCAAATAAGTAAATAAATAAAATCTTTTAAAAAAATTGCATTGATACATTGTTGAAAATCAGTTGACCCTATGTTTGTGGGTCTGTTTCTGGAGTCTGTTTTTTTTTCCCCTTTCATCTATTGGTTTCTCTGTATGCCAACACTATCCTCTTAATGTAGCTTTTATATAGTAGGTCTTCAAATCTGCTAGGGTGTGTCCTCCAACTTTATTATTCTTCAGGATTATGTTGGTTGCTCTAGGTCTTTTGCATTCCTGTAAAAATATGAAATGGCTTATTGGTTTCTACAAAGAAAAAAAAGCCTATTCATATTTTGATTGGAAATGTGTTGACTCTGTAGATCAGTTTGGAGAAAACGGACACCTTGACAATAATATGGAATCTTCCAATCCCCTGACATGGTATATATCTATTGTTTTGAGCCTTCTTTAATTTCTCAGCAATATTTTGTATTTTGTATTTTCAATGCACATTTTAAATTTGTTTCTAGGTATTTGATGCTATTGTAAATGAAATTTTTTAAATGTTTATTTTCAAACGTTTGTTTCTAATATATAGAAATAAGTAGATTTTTATAGATTGGCCTCCTATTTAAATTCACTTATTAGCTCTACTAGTTTGCAGATTCCTTTGAATTTTCTATGTATACAGTCAGAAGTATTCTCTGCTTTTGCAGACAAAGCAAAGCAAAGCATTCTGTTTTATAAGTTCATTTTGTTCTTTTTTGTTTCCTTTTTTTCCCCCATTTTCCCCATCTTTTCTCTTGGTTTCATCACGCGCTTAAGAGTGACACTACTTGGAAATATGGAAAGACTGGGATGCCTGGGTGGCTCAGTCGGTTAAGCGTCTGCCTTCGGCTCAGGTCATGATCCCAGGGTCCTGGGATCGAGTCCTGCATCGGGCTCCCTGCTGAGCAAGGAGCCTGCTTCTCCCTCTGCCTGCCTCTGTCTCTCTCTCTGATAAATAAATAAAATCTTTAAAAAAAAAAAAAAAGAAATATGGAAAGACTGTAGCCAGTATGGATAATTCTGCGTTTTCAACCACAGGTCTCTGTCAGCCTTGTCTGCTTATCATACTGGCTTGATTGCGCCCATGAAGATCCGCACGGAGGCCCCTGGGAACCTTCGTTTATACAGCGGGAGCCCCACTCGCAGTGAGAAGGAGCAAGTCTCCATCAGCTCCTTCTACTATAAGGAGCGGGTAAGCAGCAGAGCCATGGCCTTCGATTCTTATTCCTTCTGGATTTTTGTTCTTTGTCTCCCTGCCTGCTATGCAAAGCAGCTGGGTTAGTAATCCCCCTGTAGTCTTTAACTTTCAAAATTAGTTTGTTCAAGAAGGACCTTTGCTTTGTTCCTTCCGGTTGGTTTTAACTACTGTGAATGGTGTGTGTGGAGGGATGGGTTGGTTCTTACGGTCCGTACTTGTCACTCCCCACTTAATCCTATCCTTGTTCCCCCCACTTGTTAAGGTGATTCCCACTGTTTCAGGTAGGATAATTTAGCTGCAGATCTTCCTTGGTGTTCTGATGTTTGTCACCAAGTTAAGGGGTGCTTCTGAAGGCTTGGGGTCTCAATGTGTTTAGAACGTCATAGCGGTGAGAAGTTTTAGTTGATCTCGGAGGGGTCTTACGCTCTTACTAAATCCGCACCGAAGTGCCCAGCTGAACAGAAGAGCTTACGGGAAAGTCACCGGAGCCTGTCCTGGGCTCCTGGGCTCTCCCGGCAGCGCCTCGTCCCTGACCTACTATATCAAGCTGTCAGAAGCCTTTGGTGACGACACCATGGAGAATGTTGGCAGAGCGTAGGAGTGCTTCTAAGAACTCTTTCTGTGTTGTCCGATTGAGAGGCTGGTTTAAACTGCCTTTGGACTGACGTGATGTCTTAAACACAGCTACCACCAAGCTATTAACCAGCTCAGTCCTTAGGAATTCTTTGTTGCTGTCCCCAACTAATTGAGAAATGGTGGATTGACTATCACTGAAATGTGTTTTTTAAAAAATTGAGTTATTGTAAATAAAAACCCAATTTCCAGGAAGTGTTAGAGGTGTCTGCACTCCGATTGCAATGTAGTGTCTAGCCTTGGTTCACACTGGTAGTTGGACACCTCTGACTTTGTGTAGTCTTGGAGTTGGTATGTGACTGAAACGAGCAGCAGGGACTGATGCTTGAGACAGGATCAGCCTTGGGCAGAACCACTCCGTTGAATGGGGACAGTGACTGTTGCTGCTCTGCAGTCCTCTTCCTCACCTCTCTGACAGAGTTGTGCCCCTCGGGGCCCTGTTATCTTCCCAAATCCTTTACATGCCAAATTTTTAGGTGTTCTTCCCCTCTAAGCAAGCTAGTAGGCATTTTATTGGCATAATAGTCAAACAAACTCATGGTTGGGTAAACGGGGGAATTTTCTTTAGCATCAGGGCCAGGCTGAGGAGATCTTTTAGTCAGAGACAGTTCTGAATCCCCCTCTGAGTCATGTCATGTGTTACTCCTGCTTGGGTTTGGATTGGGAAAATAGGTGGACTAGCATTTTGACTCTGACAGTGCAGAAAGGCCATGCCTGGGCAAAATAACCCCAGTTCCACGATGGGACCTCTCCTAATGCAAAAGCATTTGTAAAGCCTTACTTACGTACATGTTTTTCATGGTCTGGCTTCTTTTACCATAAACACCATAATCATAAAGAGGGACCAAAGGCACATAGATAATGACCTTTTATCAGACAGGATCCGCTGGGGAGGAGGGGAAGGATGTGATACTTCACTTTGGGATGACTCCCAATATACAGCTTCTCCACAGAAAACAGGCTATTATAGTCCCTTAAGATGACCTCATATATTAAGTGATCTTTAGGTTTTATTTCAGAGACTGGCCATATAAAATGGGGGCAGACACTTGTAATTTTATATGAAACGTTTGTATTTCTGTGTAATATACGTACAGAAAAGTTCACAAATCATAAGTATATAATTCAGTCAATTCACAATCACACAGGCCAAGAAATAGAACATTCTAAGAACCGTGGAAGCTCTCGGGAGGAAAGCACATCTCAGTGGGTGACATATAGTAGTTACTAGGTGAAATCCTATGAAATTACTGATACCTTATTTATTTATTTATTTATTTATTAAATATTTTATTTATTTATTTGACAGAGACAGAGACAGCGAGAGCAGGAACACAAGCAGGGGGAGTGGGAGAGGGAGAAGCAGGCTTCCCACCGAGCAGGGAGCCTGATGCGGGGCTCGATCCCAGGACCCTGGGATCATGACCTGACCCAAAGGCAGTTGCCTAACTATCTGAGCTACCCAGGCGCCCCCATACTTGACCATTTTTAATCTCAAAAAGTTTCATGTGGTTCAGCCTCATAAGAAGTTAAACAAGTGAGTCATTTTGTGATGAATCTGAAATAAATTCATCTCTCCTTGAACCTTGTTCATGTCCATCCCATTACTTGAGGCACAGGGCGGGGGTGGGGGAGTCAGGGAAATGAAATGGGGCCATGGTATCTTATAGAGGCCATCTTCCTTACTCTTAGAGGTCGATATAGTTTTATCCCTCAAGGAGTATTTTCTTATCCTTAGGTATCTAGTTTGACATATCAAATAATACCACTTTTATTACTTTTGTTCCTAAAATGATTCCAGATTGCCACATTTCTCTGTGCGTAAGTCTTTATTTTCAGCCCGTTTTTCCCCTACATATTTTTATTCTCTTTCAGATCTCTACCCTTGAGATCGTTAAATGAGTAAGAGTCAAGGAAAAGAATATAACTGCGTTAAAGTATAGCAGTGAAGGAATTATAGAGTGTTTTGGAGTTATAAGACGCTTTATGGAACCAGTGGGGATTTTACCGTTTGTTTCTCTTGTTTTTATGTATTTTTAACCTGCCCTACTTAGGTCATATTATTATATTCACCCAAATGTTCTCCAGATGGAATTCCAAGGTTTGTTGCTAAATACTTAAAAATGTGAGAGACTAAAAAAACAACAACAATAAAAACCAACTATCAAATTTCATAGGAAGTTAGAAAGCAGGAGAGATGCTAGCGTTCATTTGGTAACTGGACCAACTATTAATAGTTGACGAAATACTGTTTATTCCTAGGGCAAATCAGAAGACCCAGAATTTGTGATAAACATTAGGCCTTGGCCTATAAACATTTCTAAAATTTTGTTCCCGTGCTTCAGTTTATGTCACTAAAATAGCTCTAATGTAAATAACTGAGGCGGTCTTGAAGTTAATAGAATAATTTCTGATTTCCATAAACAATGCTTTTCGGCCCCAGTTTCACACTGATGCTCATGTTGTTAGCCAGTGCTCTCAGGAGGGCAGCTCTTCAGCTTTGCTCCCTCATTCCCTCCATTTCTCATGCACGCTTGCTTACCCATCACTCTGAAAATAGCCCTGCAGCCCTGAGGTCAAGGCTTCCACTTTCCCCAGTGCCCACCAAACCACACATCAGAAACAGTTGGGTGTCAAGTCTACCAAAGAACTTTTTCCTTTTTAGGGATGAGAATCTTCTCGCACATAGATGTGCTCTTGATGGGGAGGGGAGACCCTCCACCCATTTCTCGACTTGCCCTGCGATCCTCCGTAGAGTACACCAACATTGACCTCAGCCTCCTTATATCTTGAGATGTGTTTCAAACTGAAGAATGATGACACTGAAGCTGGGTTGGGAGAGCAATGGGTCGGGAGGGAGGTGAGGGAATCCAAATATTGCTGTGCTGAGGTTTAGATTTTTAGTCGTTCAAACCCGATTTTGCAGTAAATTGTGGTACCTTTTAATCCATCAGATGTGTGGGAAGCTTTCATTTTATTCTATATTTTTCCCTTTTAATTTTCTTGGTGTTTTTCTTCCCTCCTCCTGGGTGTAACGTTTTCACGCACAGATGTCTCCTCGCTCTGCCCGGCGACGTTGGTCCATACAAGCAATTAACGACTTCCCGGTACTGTGCGCTGTGCAAATGCTCTCCTTGACTAATCCTGTCTGCCCAAAGGCCCAAGAATAAAATGCCACCTGCCTGGCTTTGAGGAACCTGAGTGACAGGCTGGCTGGTTTTCAGGACCAGCACAATAAATTTTTCACTCTTGGGAGTCAGGCAAGGACTTCCTCCTTGTTTCATCCAGTTTCAAGTGGGTGAATACTGAGACCGTTAAGGATTGTGAATGGGCTTCTTTGAAAATGAAGCCAAACACTGGGTTTCTTGGAAAGAACCCCAACTGTAAGCTTTTAGCTCACCTGATTTCATTTGGAGTATTTGTATAATTTCCTGGAGCTTTCAAAAGCCTACCTTTGGCATGGGGTGAAGCAGAGGAAGATATAAGAGGCTTCCACCATTTTGTCTCTCTGTTTTTATCGTCTTGGTCTAGTTCAAAGAGGGAAGTGCCCACCTGCTTCGTTGGCATGATGCATAAGCTAGTTTTTAATCGTTCAGGAACTTTCTGGAACAATTTTTTCCTTGCCATCAGTATTTTGCATTGCAATGAAACCTCTGCTGTGGACATCCTCTCTTGCTTTTCTTTCTCTCTTCCTCATTCCTGTTGGCCACCCCCCCTCTTCTGTCTTCCTCTCCCACCCCCTTCATGTTTCAGTAGTGCCAAGGTGGCCTTGGGCTGTGCAAGGCAGCCTTGTGGCTTTTTTGTAAATTTTATTTAGTGTAAAAAATTTTTCGGGGAATAGTCTTATAGCCTTTTCATATCGAACCCAGTTGAAATCAGGAGCCCTGATTAGCACGTACCACTGCTGCTGACAACTTGCGGGCAGAGCCAACGTGGCCGCCTTTCCTCAAAAAGCCTGTCCCAGCCAACCCGACTGCTGGATTTCCACTGATTTCCAGAAGTCTCTGCTCCTGCTGCTATTGAAATAGGAACTCATGTTGACTCACTGCCCACTCTGCTGATTTTGCATTGTTGGTGGGGTTGCTGCGAAGCAGTTGGTGGCTTATTCTTGGGCTGTTTTTACATTTAACCCATTTATTGGCATTGATGTTGCCTCCGATTGTAGCAGTAACACTGGTGGTACAGTCGCAAGCTGGCTATATTGGTTGTCTTTCAGTGCTATTTGCACCAATGCCTCCCCCTCCCCCCCAGCCCTTTCCTCCCTGTTCTCCTTCCTATGATTCCATGAACGCCTTCTTGGTATGTTCAGAGGAGCATCCCGGTGCTCATCATGTGATAATTGTCTGTCTCGTTTTGTCTCTCTTCCCTCAATCCCTGCTTATGAAATCTGTGGGGAAGGGGCATTTCCTATGATGGGGCATTGAGAAGACCTAAGAGAAACACAGAGCCCTTTGCCTCCCAGAGGGACTGATCCTACTGCACAGAAAAGCACCCACATTGAAGCCCGTCAGAGTGGGACTGGAGCAATGCAGGAGGTTTCGGGGGCTTTTAGGCCAGAGTGCCCTCCCCTCACCGGGAACGTTCAGCCACGCCTCAGCCTGGTGTGTCGCTGTTCTGTCACCTGACAGTTGCACAGATGAGAGAGTCCTCAGATCACCAGCAAGATGTAAGGGAAAAAGAAGCCGTGGGGAAGTGTGGATGGCACATGAACCCTTTTTGCTGTAGAAAAGTTATCTTTGCTCATTCGGGAGCAGCAAGGACCTAAGGCCCTGACATCTGATTGGGGATTGAGCATGTGTTTATTTAGGCAGCCTTGTTAATATTTGCATCCCCAGAATAATTAGTCACTAGACTGGAGTACTGGGAGACCCCTCTAGCCTGAAGGGGAGGTACTTCGTATTTAAAAACCACCAACCACTAAATAGAAAAAACAAAACTCTTTTATGACCCCTTACAGATTTTTGATAATGTTTTGCAGTTATTCCTTGCTGGATTAAATGAATGCACAGCGCTGTCCCATAATTGCTTTTATAGTTTGAGGCTTGGTGGCAGCTGTGGTTAGGGTGATCCAGTGGTGGCAAACCTCCCGTTACAAGCTCAGAGGCAGCTTAGTGAGTTTCTACCACACATTGCCTATACATCAGAACGGATCGGCCAAACCACCTAGAAGCCTGTTGTCTCAAGAAGTTGCCAAGCAAGTCCCAGGAAATCCAGGTTGTGATTTCCATAATTCAGTGAAGGATGATTACAGAAAATTGTCCAAGTCCACTGTCTTGGACATTTTCATTAAGTACCTATTGATGACTCCCACGGGTTTGTTTCTCCCCATCTCTGTAACCAAGGACCACAGACGGGCAGAGGAAAGGGTCCTAAGGTATCTCTTTGGACTCCATTCTCTTCCCTCTGAATGTGCCTACCCCTCCCACACCCAGAAAGGGGATGAAACACAGTGTGAGGGTCAGGCTCTTGAGCCTGGCCTGAAATACAGTGTCTGGGTGTGAGCCCGGTGAGCCCCACATGAAGCCAGTAGCCATGGCCGCCTCTTGTCTCTGCTGGTATTCCGCACGCTGCTCCGGATGTGCTCGGGATACTTGGCAGAGAGGTGAAATGAGAGCAGTTGTAGAGACGGGTGTCAAGACAGGCCTGATACCATCAGATGTTGATCTCCTTATATGCAGAAATGGATCCATTTAAAAATGGGCCAAACTGTTTACATAGTAACAGATAGCTTAGTCTTAGGGCTTTTTTTTTTTTTCTTTTTAATCCAAAATCATGCACTCGAAAGCAGGTTAATAAGGACGGGCTTAGCAGCCTGACGGCCTGTGTTCAAATCTCAGCTCTTAGGAGTGTGGCCTCAAGTAAGACTCACATTCTCATTTGTGAAATGGAAGCAGCAGCCCCTCTTTCAGAGCCGAGGTAGTGCCCACGCTCGCAGAGAGGAAACGGCCCCGAGCGGGAGCTCCTGTTGTTCATAATAACAGGCAAATCTGTAAATCCTAAGTCATACATTTATACGCTTGGACTTGTGTCCGAGACATCTCTCAATTCCCACATATAAGACCATCTGTGGCCATTTGAAGGTGAGGCTGTGGGGAAATAGGACAGTTGCTCATGATCTTCCATGTCCATTACCCAGGTCCTTCTGCTCAAGTATTTTTGACATTCTAAAATGATCACTTTCAGAAATAATTCATGTCTGCTAGGAAAAACATTTTTAAATGAGCTAGTCTGTATGCAAAGGGACCACTTTTGGCACACGGGCCTTAATATTTTGCTTTCATTAAGTTTGCTTAAAAAGATGGACATGGTGGTGGTTTTCAGTGTGGTCTGAAAGCTAGTAGACCCCATCCCTCATGAGGCCTCCATTTATTTCCACCTTTTAGTTACATGGAGCTGTAGTGAAGTGCCCAGTTGTTCCAACACTGCTCATTTTCTCTTGTAACAACAAGCCAGAGTGTCTGCCTGAAACAGTGTTTTAGAAGCCTTCCACCCGACACAGAAAACCAATGAGATGGATCATATTCCATTCCAGGTGGAATTTTTTTAGTGTCGGATCTTTTCCTTTTGTTTCTTTCTTACTTTTTAAATCCAGTACCCCAAATCTCATTTGAGATATTCAATTATGTAGGACCTACGGGTGTTGTTTCCTGGAATTTTTAAACTCCTGGAAACCTGGATGAAAAAGTTTGTGTACTTAACACCCTCCCTGTTCCAATTCACCACACTGTGCTGTTCCATTCACTGCCTGGTAGATGCCCACAAAATTACCCTACCCACAACCAGTCACGTCAAATTATTTCACGCACATGGACAACATCTGTCCTGTGCTGGTTAACACCGCCTGGCTCCAGTCCATTCTGACAGGCTGTTTGCTCTTTAGCCCATTCTCCCCTTACTTGCATCCTCATCAGGATATTTGTGGCTAAAAGGCTAGTATTTTTGTGAGTGTGTACATAATTCTTTAGAAACTAGCCAGCACAAATCAAGAATCGAAGGGCTGCCAGACAGTAGTAGACAGGGCTTCTCTTGTATTGATAGTAATGATGTGTATGAATAAAGAGCACAAAGTAACTCAATTGCTGCCTAAGATCAACTGGGTCAAAGTTCCAAATTGATAATGTAGCACATGTATTTACAAATTATGATAAACAGTTCAGAGACCTCAGCTAAACTTCATCTGCCACGAACCGAGTCCAGGTGTCCTGGATCTAGTAGGTTCCATAACCCTTACTGAGCCCATAGGAAGTTCCATGCCGTGGACACCTTTGGGGATTAGATGGGACATCATTGGTCAGAAGCGACTAACTATAGACCATGACTAATGAATGGAAGAGTGTAGAAAAATCACTAGCGGAAAATGAATTATTTGTGAGTAATATAAGTAATGGTCTAATCTAAACTCCTGAGGGCTTATAATGCATTTATAATCACTACCGATTTGTTTTAATTGTACATTTTCAGTCTGCACTCTCACCTTTTCATTGTGGCCTTATTAGACTTGCAAGATTGGAAAGGAGCTCATCCTGAGGCATAGTTATCGGTGAGCAAAGAGGATGACATGAGACTAAGTTCATAGCAAATAAGGAGCTCACCCAGGGTCACACTGAACCAGCACAGGTGGTAATAAGACCAGCATACCTTGGTTTTCTGACTCCAGATTGCAGGTCCCTTCCCTAGCAACTATGTTAATAAGTATGTCACCTCCCCCCTGAGTTGAATCACTTTGGTGGCCCCCTTTTTAACTTCCAGCAATAAAATAAAATAGAATATTGTTCCCTCAGCTGGTTGTCATTTTGAAGATACCAGATGGGGCTATGCTGATAATTCTCCCTTTCCGGGACATCTCTCATTTCCCACACACAGGCTCCTTTGTAGGGGAGGCTCTGGGGAAATAGGACAGTTGCTCATGATCTTCCGTGTCCATTACCCAGGTCCCTCTGCTCAAGTATTTTTGACATTCTAAAATGATCACTTTGAGAAGTAATTCAAGTCTGCTAGGAAAAACCGGGTAATTCTCCTTGAGCTGCTAAGTTTCTTGGTCTGCCTGCCACAGATTAAGGTTTGCAGAGCCCACACTGCTGTGTCTGAATTAAATTTTCAACAAATCCTATTAAAGCTGTCTGAGAAGAAAAAAACCTTTGATTAGTTTCAGGCAAGAACTTTGAACCTAAGGCTGATCCCAACCTTAAAAGTTGCTCTTCTCCCACATTTTTGTGGTCTTTACTAACTTATTTACCTGCTCTTCTTTCTTTTCTTTTCTTTTTTTTTTTTTAAATTCTAGATTCAAGGTATCTATTTTTGGGCACCTGTACAATGTCTGTAGCACTGCAGTAGGTGCATATTTTCCTGTTAGGATTTTGGAACCAAGAGCTCAATGCCCTTTGCCATCCTTTTATTTTCTACAGATGCTGATTCATTTAATTGTGGGCATGATGTAATGCAAAGTCTCTGCAAATAACCAATGACCCAACTCTGATGTGCTCTGCGACTGTAGGTTTCCACTCATCAAAGTCCCCATTAGTTATATCTCGTCATCTCCCCCAGAAATCCAGGAGATGGAAAAGCAAGCGTGAGGGATCGGACTCTGGCAATCGACCAATCAAGGCTGCTGGGAAAGTTATCATCCAGGACACTGCATGCCTTCTTCCTGTTCACAAATCACTGGGAGAACTGTACATGTAAGTCTGCCATACTTATCACACAGTCATCATAATCCATGTGGTTTTGTTTCTTTTTTTTTAAAGTATTTTAAAAATATTAAAGTATTGGAACCCTTTTGGGGAGCCTGGGTGGCTCCGTCGGTTAAGCGATTGGCTCTTGATTTTGGCTCAGGTCATGATCTCAGGGTCGTGAGTTCAAGCCCTGTGTCGGGCTCCGTGCTGGGTGTGGAGCCTCCTTGAGATTTTGTCTCCCTCTCCCTGCACCCCCACCCTGCGCACACTCACTCTCTGTGTGTCTCTTTCTCTCTCTCCCTAAAAAAAAATAAATAAGTATTGGAACCCTTTCTTCAGAAGACGTTTTAGGAGGAGACCAGCATATGAGCTTTCTATTGCTGCATAACAAGGTACCACAAACTTAGCAGCTTAAAATAACATACATTTATTATCTCGGTTTCCATGGGTCAAGGGCCAGGCATGGCTTAGCTGGGTCCTTGCTCAGGTCTCACCAGGCTGAAATTGTAGAGGTAGCCAGGTAGTGGTCTTATCCAGTGCTCAGAGTCCTCTTCCAAGCTCATTCAGGTTGTTAGCAGAATTTAATTCCTTGAAGACATAGAACTCGTTGATTTTCATCTTCAAGACCAGCAGGAGTTTCTCTCTGATGCTTCACTTTCTTTCTAAGTTCTCACCTGATTAGGTCAGGCCCACCTAAAATAATCTCCCTTTTGACACATTCACAGCAGACTGATTAATAACCTAATCTTGGGTGTGATAGCCCATCAATATTCACTGGTATCACCCATAATTAAAGGAAGGGGATTATATTAGATGTGTGGTGGGAGGAGGCCTCAGAATTCTGCTTTCCATACCTATTTGTAAAATAGTTAAAAGCAGAGCCACTTTGGTTGTAGGGAGTTGGGAGAAGAGTGACAGGCATACAGAGGCTGGCCTTCTTCTTGAACTGGAACACATAACAAAAAGTGTTTATTTTGTAATACATACACAGCACACCACTCTTTGTGTTAGAAACCACAGTGTTGCACATATTTAAATTCCTTTTATTCAACCGTTAAGCCTGGGGAAATCCACAGAAAAGCCGGTTGCCAAATTGACATTTGGGGTTGCCTTCCTGTCCTGACTTCAGAGAGGTGAACAATTTCACCTTCCCCAGGCGCGAACCCACAGCCTGAGCTGCGGGGAAGCTTTTTCTCCATATTACGTAGCAAGAATAAAGCCTAAGGCCAACATGGATAAAGCATTTTGGATGACAACTAAAGAGGCAGTTTTTAGTTTGTCTGTTAAACCAGGGGTCACTGATTTAGGAGGTTAGACTAGAAAGAAACTTCTTATTAATTCTTTTTACATTTCAGATTGAATATGAATGATATTCAAGAAACATGCCAGAAGAATGCCACTTCTGCCTTGCTTGTTGGAAGGAAGGACCTTGTCCAGGTATTGTGCATCCCTCCTGATGGCCATCTGAAGTTTTCTTTTTGAGCCGATTGTTTTCACTTCATAATTTTGGTTTAGTGATCTTTCAGGGCGTGCTTCCTATTTTGCAATTCCTATCCCATTTTCTTTGCCAAACTGCAGGGCTAGGGCAGCTTTCTAAATCCTTTGGGTTCTCTCTTTTTTAAAGAATATTTATTTATTTAAGTAATCTCTACCCCCAGTGTGGGGCTTGAACTCATGACCCCGATATCAAGAGTTGTATGCTCTTCCAACTGAGCCAGCCAGGCACCCTCCCGCTTTGGGTCTTCTTATTAGAGCTTAGTTGAGAAGATGCTAAAGCATGTACTGAGAATTTTTTATTACATTTCTACTCTGGTATCATGGTGATTGTTACACACATAAATGTGGATATCTGTGCCTTTGCCATTTGCACTCTCAATTCTGTTTTGCTGGGGTTTTTATACTTTTAAAAATGCTTTGTTTAAAAATGCTTTGTTTCGGGGGCCTGGGTGGCGCAGTCAGTTGGGTGTCTGACTCTTGGTTTCAGCTCAAGTTGTGATCTCAGGGTCATGAGATCAAGCCCTGTGTTAGGCTCCAAGTTCAACACGGAGTCTGCTTTGGATTCTCTTCTCCCTCTTCCTCTGCCTCTCCTGCTGGTGCTCTCTCTCTACTTCTCAAATAAATAAATCTTAAAAAAAAATTCTTTGTTTCAAGGGGCTGGCTTAGTCAGTAGGGCATGTGACTCTTGATCTCAGGGTTGTGAGTTCAGGTCCCATGTGTGGTGTAGAGTTTACTTAAAATTAAAAAAAAAAAAATTGTGGGGGAGTTGCCTGGCTGACTTAGTCAGTAGAACATGCAACTCTTGGTCTTGGGGTTGTAAGTACAAGCCTCATGCTGGGTGTAAAGATTATTTAAAAATAAAATCTTTAAGGGGTGCCTGGCTGGCTCAGTTGGTTAAGCATCCAACTTTTGATCTCAGCTCAGGTCTTGATCTCAGGGTCATGATTTTTAAGCCCTATGTTGGGCTCCATGCTACTTAAAAAATATATATATTGTGTGATCCTGGCCAGCACTTAATCCTTCTGAACCTCAATTTCCTCAACTATGAAATAGTCCTGATTCTAGTACCAATGAGAAAGAATAAGGTCATATATGTAAAACTCCCATACCCATATCTGCTAGATGGCAAATATCCAATGTATGGGACACTCGCCACTCTGTTCCTGTAATTATTGTCATCATTTGTGGCATGGTACTTGTAAAGAGACGGAAATGGCATTGGTGCAAATGCTTGAAGAATGTTTTTTTTTTCTTTTTTATGCACATGTTGATGATGATAGGTCTATTGTTTCGTAGAGAGTTGCAGAAATAAACCCAAGTGTCAACTATTCCTGTCAAAGCCCTTTAGGAAATGTATATTAAGAGTGAGGAAGTAACAGGGTGCCTGGGTGGCTCAATCCTTTAAGCCTCCGAAGACTCTTGGTTTTGGCTCAGGTCATGATCTGAAGGTCGTGAGATTGAGCCCCACGCCAAGCTCCACACTCAGCAGGGGGGTCTGCTTGAGATTCTCTCCCCTTCTCCCTTTGCCCCTCCCATGTTCTCTCCCTCTTTCTCTCTAAAATAAATCTTTTTTAAAAAAGTGAGGAAGGAACATGCCTAAATTTTCAGCCCGAATAGTAAACATCCTGTCCTATCCCAGAGAGACATTAACTTCTCTCATCAACTGTTCAGGTGGGTCATTGGTTATAGAGATAAAAGTAAACCTCATGTATTTTGTCTTAATCAGTACTTGGGTGCCTGAGTATATTGGTGCCACCTAATTTAATTGATTTTTTACATATCTGACGTGTTTCCCTACCCATTTTTCAGTATTTTTGTTTATTCTTTTTTTTTAGATTATAGACTCCTCGATTAAAGTCCGTATTTTCTTCTTTTCAAGTTTCTCACAGAGTCTAGGATAGTATTTCCCAGTTAGTGGGCATACAGTGATATATTGCTACTAAGAAAGATTTCCCAATAGTATTCCATTTTTAAAAGTGTGGAGGGAAGGAGGTTCTGTTGACGGCATGATGTACTTAATATTAGCATGTGCTGAATCTTGGAGTTAATAGACACCTAATGAATATTGGTTTCTGCTTGATGACCCCAAGCCCTGCAGGATTTCAAGTTTGGAGATATTCCTCAGACTTTATGTCAACAAAAAGTCTGTTCTGACCTGGCCTATTTTTCTTTAGCTTTGAGAGTATACTGCAACTTTTGTAGTGAAAGCAACAAAGTTTCCCTTTATTTGGGCAAAGGACAGATCTGAAATGTGATAGGAGATGCTTTTTTCCCCCCTCTCCCGGCCTGTTTACTAATGAAGCAACAGAAGTCACTTGAGACAACCCTTTGGGGTTAATGCGTGGTGTCATTTCTTTGAAATTTGCTTAATAAGAGTTTTTAAGACTAGTGTTTCTTGAGCATTACAGTCCCCAGAGAATCTTGTTAAAATGCAAATTTTGATTCGGTATGTCTGGAAGGAGACCTAATGTTCCCAGTTTTTGTTGTCCTCAGAGCAGCAAGGCTGTAGGCTATATGTGGAGGAAGGTGGGGTTCTTTCATGCTTCCTGGTCCTTTCCTCACCAGTCTGACTTCAAGTGTTTCTCTTCGATCTGTTCCAGGTTTGGTCGCTGGCTACAGTCGCTACAGATCTTTGCCTTGGTCCCAAGTCTGACCCAGATTTGGAAACACCCTGGGCTCGACATCCATTTGGGCGACAGCTGCTGGAGTCCCTGTAGGTTTTGAGAGCTAAAAGTGAGGAAAATGAGTGATGTAAATTTTAGGTCTGTAAACACTTGCAATATGTTCATTGAAGGGATATGAGGAATGGGAAAAAGTGAGATCTTTCCCATTAGTGCTATGATAATTTCTGTGCAGAACTAACTTCTTATAGCAGAAGGAAGTAGACAATATTAGTCATTTACAACAAGGATTTGAGACTCATGTGTCCTTTAGAGATTTATGCTTTAGCCCATGTCACACCAGTCTGAACACAGGAGTTTGAACTCTTGAAATGCTAAATTTCTTGGGTGCTATAGAATTTTGCCCCCAAGAGCAGACTCTCTAATTCCGTGTTGACTTACATGTTTTCCAAGGGCGATAATGTTTTTACCGTTTGGCAGTTTATGGAAACATTGAATTTGTGTTGGATTTATTGCACTTTAATGTGGCAAGCTGGAAATACAATGTGAAAATGGTTTACCACTTGAACCTTCATAACCGTGAGGCTCAGAGCCTGACAGAGAGATAGAAAAGCTGTAATTCCTTCAGGTGGAGGATTGCTTGACTTACTTGTTGAGGCTGGACGTGGGACCTGTGCTGAAGCTTCAGTCGCCTCGTGGTGACACAGGGATGATAATGGTGGTTCTATCCACATCACATAAGGCTCAAGTATGATGGTATGAAAACACTTTAAGAAATACCATACATTGGGGCGCCTGGGTGGCTCAGTTGGTTAAGCCACTGCCTTTGGCTCAGGTGATCCTGGAGTCCCGGGATTGAGTCCTGCATCGGGCTCCCTGCTGAGCAGGGAGTCTGCTTCTCCCTCTGACCCTCCGCCCTCTCATGCTCTCTCTCTCTCTTTCATTCTCTCTCTCAAATAAATAAATAAAATAAAATAAAAAAAGAAATACCATACATTGCTCGGTAGGAAAGTATCAGTATCATTCCATCACAAAGACCAAATCGTTCTGATCCCTACCTCACATCCTAGCATAGTGGTCCTAAAAGGAGCAGAGAGGATGTGAGTACCTAAGAGCTAAAAATATTCCTTGTTATTCTTATTTAATAGCTCATATTCATAATTCCACCTTCGTGTCTTTTGCCAGCTCTCCATACCATGGTGGTGGTACAGTGTTCTGAGCACCTTCATGTAGCATTAGGTTACGAGAGAAGAATGATCCTTCTTGGAGTTGGGGAGACCAAGAGCACATGCATGGCCTCATTCAGATGTTAGTTTAGTCCACTTAGTTCTTGGAGGAGCCACACTCAAGTCTGAGCCATGCCTGGATGCCAACTAGAAGCTTTCAGATGGGTTATCCAGCTCATTTGTAATACTTGGATACATTCTTTTCCAAAACAGATTTTTTTTTTTTTTTAAGAGTCACCGTTCAAAATTTATTTGGTATTTTAGTTGGTATGACACTTAGTTGGCTGCATTGTCTTTTTACGTTATATGGCCATGTACACTATATTCTGACATACATGGTACACAAAGTAAGATCCTTTAGGACAGTTATGCACAATACACGCAATATTGAATTTATACATTGGATCCCAGAACGTGACTGACTGGAAAAGATGGACTAGGCATGTCGGGTTTTGGGGGAAGGAACCCGAAGTGACAGAACACACAGTAAACACACATCTGGTATGCAGAGCAACCGCAGCTCTGGCAGTGGAGCCTCTGAGACGGTGGGGCTAACTTACGTTAACCAATTTAGGGCTACAAAGACAGGTATCATCCAGTACCAGGATACAGCTGCAGGGTTTGGTGAACCATTCCTATTTGGAACTTTAGGAAACTGATGTTTTTTCTTAGGCCATTTTAATATTACTTGAGTAACAGATCAGATAAGGACAATATACACAACCTCCAACTAAAATCCTGCTATAGTCTAGACAGTGAAGTGGTACATTAGAAAACTTTAAAACTGCAGCTCCTTTTGGATCCCCCAAAGTGTATCTGTACTCTTCTTCAAATGGGCCTCCTCCTCAGAAGTCAGAGTCACCTTCACAACATCTGAAATTCATTCTGTCCCAAGATGCGAGGGACACTAAGGAAGACATCATCTTTAATTCCATAGAGATCCTTAATCATGGTGGAAATTGGATGCACCCGCCTAAGATTCTTCATTATACTTTCGGCCAGATCTGCCACAGACAGTCCATTGGCCCAGGAGGTGTAGCCTTTCAGTTTGATCACCTCATAGACACTGTCAACCACCTGTTTGTGAACCTCTTTCCACTATTCCTTATCTGCATCAGTGCCTAAGTCAGGGTGCAGATTCTTCTGAGAGACACCAGCAACATTCACTCCACGCCATACAGGCACACTGGAGTCTCCATGCTCCCCAAGGACCCACCCGTGACAGCTTAATGGGTGAACTCCCAGTCTTTCCCCCATTAGGTAAGGGAACCAGGCTGAATCCAGATTGCAACCACTTCCAATAACACGGTTTTTGGGAAAGCCACTTATCTTCCAAGCCACATAGGTCAGGATATCCACTGGATTGGAAACAACAAGCAACTTGCAGTTTGGGCTATATTTTAGGATATTAGGAATGATGAACTTAAAGATGTTCACGTTACTCTGGACCAAATTAAGACGGCTTTCTCCCTCATGCTGACGTGCCCCAGCTGTGATAATAACCAGCTTGGAGTTTGCAGTCACATTATAGTCTTTGCCAGAGACAATTTTTGGTGTTCTAAGGAAAAGGCTGCCGTGCTGGAGATCCATCATCTCTCCCTTCAGTTTGTCTTCCATGACATCAACAAGAGCAAGTTCATCTGCCAAGTCCTTCATTAAGATACTGATGGCACAAGCCATGCCAACAGCACCAACCCCAACAACTGTGATCTTATTCTGGGGGGTATGTTCTTCCTTAAGAAGATTCTGAATCAGCTGATCTTTGAGAGTTGCCATTTTGGACTTAGAACCAAAAGGAATCGGGAGTGCATGTTGGGCAGGCGGGCGTCAGCGGCACGCGAGGTTGAATCCGGACTTGGCGGCAGCGGCTCCGACACTCCTCCAAAACAAATTTAGCCATACTCAAAGTACAGTCTGCTAGGTCTATAGAAAGCCCTGGTTCCTGACGATTTTGTGAAGCAGAATTAAGAAACCTCCCTTCTATCCCTTTGTCAGCAACCCACCACAACTGTGACAGTTAGCCTTCTTCTATCTCTTCTCTTGACTTTTTTTCTCTCATCTTTTCCTCCAGTTTGGCTCACTACTGCCGACTCCGGGATGTCCAGACATTGGCCATGCTCTGCAGCGTGTTTGAAGCCCAGTCACGGCCTCAGGGAATACCAAACCCCTTCGGACCCTTTCCCGGCCGGTCCTCTAACCTTGTGGTGTCCCACAGCCGATATGTAAGCCTGCGGCCTTGTGTGTTGTGTTTGACTCCTCCTAAAGGGAAGCGTGTTCTGACTCTGCTCCTGTTTGTCCTGCAGCCCAGCTTTACTTCCTCGGGCTCCTGCTCAAGCATGTCAGACCCAGGGCTCAACACTGGTGGCTGGAACATAGGTTGGTATGGTGCTGACTTGGCCACGCTGGATTTCTGGTACTTTAAAAACTGTGTGTGAATTGTTACTGTGTCAGCTTCAGTTAATAGATGCACTCTATATTTTCCTTGCTTCTCATTTCTCTCCAAATTTAATATGGTGGGGATGCTGTAGTTAGCAAGGCCTGGACTTGAACAGGCCAGTTTCTGGTATGTCTTTGTGCCTGGCTGTGTGGCTTTTCAACTCGTAACCTTGAGAGACTGACAGTGGGACTTTAGTGTTTACCCGGTAAACCCAACCCTCATTCTTTCTCCCTCACATGCCCCCTGCCCCACCCCAGTCATCTGCCACTTCTTGTTAGCTGTTGCTTCCCACATACTTCCTTTCAATGTGGAGAAATAAAGATTTCTCCAGCTGGCCGTAAAGGTCTATTTAACAAATAAGTGTATTTGTGGTTTCCGGATTTTTGAAATTTCTTTTTAAAAATCATCTTAATTTTCTTTTTTTTTTCTTTTATTTTTTCTTATATAGAACTTGAGTGAGCTTGGTGATTTAGTTTTCCAATCTACAGAATAGAAGCTACACATATAGAGACTTTGAAGTAGGAGGTGACGCCTGTTAGAGGCAGGGCAGGCAAAGAAGTCGTGGTTACGGTAGTTTGACAGGAAGAGTTACAAAGTATTAAGAAAAAAAAGAAGACCCAAACCAAAAACAGAAGTTTGTGGCCAGTAAGTACAGTGTCAAATAATTTTCTGAGGGAATATCACTGTCTTGCCAACAATGATTCTGTGTCATGCAGAAAAACATTTTAACAGTACCGTTTGCACAAGAAGTAAGGAAAATTCATTTTATTATATTCAAAATAGTTTTAAAACTATGAAACTTTACAATGTTTTGAAATTTTAAAATGTTTCAACAAAATGAAGTTTCTCTTTCCTGGAAAACCCATTTAGGGAAATAGGGTAGGAAAGACAGAAACCTTGTTCCTTTAATTGAGAGGTTATAAAAGTAATTACTTGGGGGCACCTGGGTGGCCCCAGTTGGTTAAGTGTCCAACACTTCGTTTTAGCTCAGGTCATGATCTCAGGGTTGTGAGATTGAGCCCTGCATGGGGTTCCACACTTAGCAGGGAGTCTGAGATTCTCTCCCTCTCTCTGCCCCTCTGCCCTGCATGTGTGTGTGTGTGCACATGTATATTCTCTCTCTCTCTCAAATAAATAAATCTTAAAAAAAATAATACATGCCCAGTATTACAAAAAGCATTATAGAAGAAAATAATCACTGAACCTCCACCTAGAAATAATGTCTCTTAATATTCCAAAACATTTTTCCCAATCTGTGTGTGTGTGTGTGTGAAAGGTCATTCTATATATATGATTTTGTGTTCTGTTTTTAATTTTATCATGAACGTTTTCTCACGTCATTTAAAAAGTCTTTATCAGGGCACCTGGGTGGCTCAGTTGGTTGCGCGACTGCCTTTGGCTCAGGTCATGATCCTGGAGTCCCGGGATCAAGTCCCACATCGGGCTCCCTGCTCAGCGGGGAGTGTGCTTCTCCCTCTGACCTTCTTCCCTCTCATGCTCTCTCTCTACCTTTCTCTCTCTCTCTCAATAAATAAATGAAAATCTTAAAAAAAAAGTCTTTATCAATAATGACTGCTTTATTTAATATTTTATATCACTGTACCATAATTTGCGGCTTAATCATTGTGTGTCTACTTAGTTATCAGGTTACCTTAACAGTAAATATCTAAATAAAAAGGTAAGGCTAGGAAAGAGTTCTGCTTAGTTACATTTCTCAGCATCTGCAGCTTAGCTTATTTTTCTTCCAGTGACTAAAGTGAGCACACTCTGCATTATGAGAGTTTTCAGACACTTTCCAAACCTTGTCTAATTTCCCTCTTCCCTTCCCATTTGATTTGCTTCAGCGGGAAGAGAGGCAGAACATGTCTCCTCACCTTGGGGAGAGTCTTCTCCAGAAGAAATCCGCTTTGGGAGTCTTACCTACAGTGATCCCCGTGAGCGAGAACGTGATCAGCATGATAAAAATAAAAGGTAACAACCTTCCCCGGTGAGAGCTGCAATTTTCATAATGCTTAGATTCCCCAAAATCAAGACTCTTGCTGTAAGAAAGCTATGTTATGTTCATTTGGTATTGAGCTTGTTTTTTCTTTTTCTTTTTTTTTTTTTAAGATTTTATTTATTTGACAGAGAGAGACACAGCGAGAGAGGGAACATGAGCAGGGGGAGTGGGAGAGGGAGAAGCAGGTTTCCCGCGGAGCAGGGAGCCCGATGTGGGGCTCGATCCCAGGACCCTGGGATCCTGACCTGAGCCGAAGGCAGACGCCTAACGACTGAGCCACCCAGGCGCCCCCTGAGCTTGTTTTTTCTTAAAGGAACTGACAGGCAATCTTTTGAGTTTTATCCAGGCTTCTGGACCCCGCCAATACCCAGCAATTTGATGACTTTAAGAAATGCTATGGAGAAATCCTCTACCGCTGGGGTCTGAGAGAGAAACGAGCTGAGGTGCTGAAGTTTGCCTCCTCTCCTCCGGATCCTCATAAAGGGATTGGTGAGTATGAACTTCTTTTCCTGTCACTATCTGAAAGGTCCTATAATTTAATTTGTCCCTGAATGTAAGACTTGGAGTGAAGTCTTTTAGCTTCTCACTTAGAGGCGGAAATTTCTGAAGCATTTTGAGTCTGCTCTCCCCTTCCGAAAACCCTTGTATTTCATGACGAGAGTACATTTCTAAGTGGAAGTAGTTTTATATACTGTACTCAGATACTGATTTGAAGGATTTCAAATTCATATATTCAGCTGAGACATACCGAGCTCCTGTGAGGCACAGTGCTAGCACATTCCTTCCCCTCATGGAACTCACAGACTAGTGGGGGAGAAAAATTAAGTAACTATAGGTTGTGATCAGTGTTGATGAGCAAACAAAAACGATGTTGGCGCAGGGAGAGCAGGAAGGGAGAATTGCAGGTGATGTCTGGCCGTGTACAGGGAGGGCCTTTCTGAGGGGCTGAGGTAGAGGGAGGAGAAGCCATCTGTGCAGAGGGCAGCACACATTAAACTAGTGAAGGAAGGCCAGTGGCTAGAACACAGCAAAAAGAAGGGTACCAAATTAGACTGTAGGGTAATTAGGAACTTGCAAGTCATGGTTCAGAATTGGGATTGTATTCTGAGTCCAGTGGTAAGCTTCAAAGGGTATTAAGAGATAAGTGACATGCTCTGGTTTCTATTTTAAGAGAATCACTGGCCGTTATATGAAGAAAGGTTTGGAGGACAATGCGGTAGAAGTTTGAAGACTGTTAGGGTAGTCAGAGGGAGATCAACGGCCTAGTCTCAGGTGATGTCAGTGGAGGTAGAGAGAGGGGGTAGATTCAAAATACTTCTTAGAGGTTGACTCCACATATAATGATAACAAATTGGATGTGGGATTGAGGGGAAGGGACAGAGCTTAGATGATTCCTGGGTTTCTAGCTTGGGCAACTGGGTAGGTGGTGGTGCCATATTCTAAGATAGAAGAGGCTGGAAGAAAATTAAGAGGTCTGTTTTGGATAGCTGGAGATGTGTATGAGCTGCCAGACCGTAAAGTCATGTAGGCGGCCAGATGTGAATCTGGAGCTCAAAGGGTGGCCTGGGGCAAGAACTAGCAATTTTGAGAATCTTTAGCATGTAGGTGGTACTGGAGCTGTGAGAATGGGTACATTGACCTGGGCCCTGGGGTGGGAAGGAAGAGTACAGGGAGAGCAGGAGCCCACCCACTCCAGGCCTTGAGGGAAGCAAGTACCTGCAGACTCAGAAGGGGACACCAGTGAGTTCTGGGGAAAAGCGAGAGCGTGATCTGAAAGGAGCTAAGAGAAGAGTTTTAAAGGGTGATGTCGAAGACCACCAGAGAGGGTAGTCTGAACACACATTGATTTCCTCTCTCTCCCAGAGCCCCCCCTCCCCAAAGCGTCTATCCAGAGCTTTCCTGAAAAGGCATAATCGTGCAATCATGTTGTTGGTAGCATTTGGGACCAGGGAGGCAGATAGCGTAGTAGTAGCTGATTTTACAGGGCCTAAACTGACAGGCAGAAAACAGTACCGCACAGTACCACACATGACAGAACCCCCACCCCTCTCCAGCCCCCTCCCCTCCCCCGACCACCCCTGATGGCTCAGGATTTAGTGATGCATGGCACCTCTGGAAGTGGCACGAAGGTGAGACTAAACACAGGAGTATTGTTTGATGGCTTTTTTAGGGTCCCCAGGTCCCTGATCCTAGTTTGCAGAGCAGGTTATGAGCCTGCCTCTGTCACAACCGAAAATCTGGAATTTTCGTTCTCCAGAGAAGGCAAACAGCTTTCTAGCTTGAAAGGGCCCACGAAGCACCTAGTGTAGTGAGTGAAGAAAGACCCGGGATAAAGAGAGTACCCTGGGAGCTTCCAGAGAGAGAGAACAGGTCTCATGCAGAGGATAAGGAATATGGGCAGCACCACACTTCTCCGGAGCAGTGAACCAGATACTAGAAAGGAGAGGACGATGTAGCAGTGCCTTCGGAAGTCTCCAGAAAATGATTTCTAACTTAGAATCCTGCCCCCAAATGATCAGTCACATGTAAAAGTAAACCTTCAGCCTATCCAGGAAGGCAGGGAGTCGGGATGATGGTAAAGGGAGATCCACATGGCAGACCGAGAAACAGACCCATCCAGGTTGGAGCTTCAAGAGCGCTGTCTCCAAGAAGAGAAAGTTAGAAAAATAGCTAGTGGATTTCAGTGTCCAGTATATTTATAGAGACTCAGATATTTGAGAGAGGGTTTGCAAGTGAATTATGATAAACTAAGCAAACAAAAACAACAAGACGGTTACTAAGAAAATCTAAGCATGCGAGAAAGGAAAAGTGGTCATGGTACATGGCTTGGCTTGAATAATGTTCACCTGGATAGATGATGGGAAAACAGAACGCTGATCTAACCAAGTAATAGTGGAACTGTGTGGGGAAGATGAGGGATGTGTGTGGCTAAGGCGAATTGGGGAGTGAAAGAAGCTTCCACGGGAAAGTTGAGATAATGCTTAAATGTGGAAATTAAGAATTAGCTTTGTACAGGGGTGTTTGGAGATAGAAGGTAGAAACAAAAAGTTAAGTGAGTTGGAAGGATTTCCTCCTGGGAGTGATGGGCGAAGGGAGTGGAAGGGAATGCTGATTTTGTTAATCAGACATATAACATTATTTGACTCTTTTAAGTTGTATGTATGTAGGTTTAATTAAAAAACCCAAACAAGGTGGCTGGCTGGCTCAGTTGGTGGGGCCTGTGACTCTGGATCTTAGGGTTGTGAGTTCGAGCCTCATGTTAGGTGTAGAGATTACTTAAAATCTTAAACAAACCAGAGTAATACAGAGATTGAGATATCAAGTAACAAGGATTGTTTTTTTTTTTTTTTTTTAAAGATTTTATTTATTTATTTGAGAGAGAGAATGAGAGAGAGAGAGGGTCAGAGGGAGAAGCAGACTCCCCGCCGAGCAGGGAGCCCGATGCGGGACTCGATCCCAGGACTCCAGGATCATGACCTGAGCCAAAGGCAGTCGCCTAACCAACTGAGCCACCCAGGCGCCCCACAAGGATTGTTTTAATATGGATTATTTTGGTGTATGTACTTCAGGAAATGCAAAGGTGCAAAATGTTATTTGGGCAATGTGTTTTTCAGAGCATCTAAGTGCATGAAAGTGTATCAGAGAGAGTAATGAAGGCCTGGAGCAACTTGTGATTTAGAATTAGTTTTCAGGAAAATATACGAATCACAGAGATAGGTAACTGATACATTGCACTCTTACTGACATCTATTATTATAAGCATCCTGCCAAGTTCTCTTGGCCATACAGGGAAACACAAGGTGTGGTTTGGGGGGGTGGTGTCAAAAAGTCTGTAATCCAATCAGAGAAGTAAAACAGGAACTCATGGAGACTTAAATGGTCCTGAAGAATGAATAGTGAGAGCTAATACCGTCACAAACAGTATTGTAGGATTTCAAAGGGGAGGGATTATGAAAGATAGACTCAGACAAAAGCATTATGTATTTTCATCTTCATTATTTATTACTTTGGAAGAAGTGGACTTCTCACATCTAGCAAACAGCAGATACTTCTCAAATCTAGCAAACAGCAGATACTGAGAGAAAACTACTCCAGGGTTACCACAGCTACAGTTAGTCTCCAAATTGCTGGAAAATCAGTAGTTTCCTCTCAGACTCATCACATCTGCAAGGGTCATCCCATATCAGCAGCAAATTTTAGGGATAAATTGTGTTCATTTAAGGGGTTAGATTTATAGAAAGGGCTCGAGGCTTCATTTATTTTGAGGAGGTAGTCAAGCAATTTTCTGCTTCCGTTTATTTAATGTCTTATTTATTTGGCTGGTTTTATTTACATTTGTGTAACTGATGGTAATTAATACAGACAGCTCTTTTTTATGTAGGACCATATGGCACTAAGCCTTTGGAGCTGGCTTCTGCCTGGGGGTTTCATAAAGCCTTAGGAATCGTAATTTGATCATTTATGTGCTAGACGTATTTTTTATTGTCCTTATTAGTTTGTCCATTGGGAACCAGGAATGATTCACTTCGCCTCTGCCAGATTTCACCTGCAAAGCCTATACCTGTGGGCATATGCTTCCTTCCCTGAGATTCCCCAGGTTTGTCAGTGTTCCTATAAAAGACACCTTGACAGCTTGTGATTTCACACAAACTCTACATCCTTTTGTATCGCCACATGTGGCGAAAGTTATTCTGTACACCACTGTGGCCCAGATGTGTGCCTGTCCTTCTCAACTAATGGCCATTCCATTATATAGAACAATAAGAGGCAAGAGAGAAATATTAAAATTACACTTAGTGACTTAGTGTTTTTGTATTCCCTATCTTTGTGAATTTATATCCACCTAGAAATTGGCCACATCCCCTCAAATGATTCATTAATTAACTAAATGAAATATTAGTTCAACATCTTAAAGTTAATAACGATTTTAGGGATTACATTTAAGCTGACATGGTATGGAGAAACACAGTTCCTAATGGCATATTGAGTTTTTCAGGGAGAGGATGTTTTAATAATTTTACCCAGATTTGGAGAATAATTAGGTTTACATTTTACAGTTATCTCAAATGTCAAAGAACAACACCTTTTTGAAGACATAATTCAATTTATTGAATGTACAGTTTTTACATTGTCATAATTTTAAAGGTTGAATCTTGTCCAACCAATAAAACCAGTAAAGGAAATTTAAGAAATTTAAACTAATTAAGCTTTTCATGAGAACATAAACCGTAAACATTACCTAACATAAAAAGTTGTGCATAAAGGGACAAGACATGGCTATTTTTCACCAACATTATCAAACCAATTTAATTTGTCACAGGATTTACCTAAACTAGGACTGTCATAAAATTTTTCCTTACTTAACCATGTATTTTAAAAGTCTTCATTGGTACATTTGTGACTGCCATTTGTCCTCAGGCAGAGGAACTGGGTCAGGTACAGGAAAGGAGCCTTCCTCTGTTCTAAGAGGTGGAAGGAGAAGAGGAGCGAGTAGGGAAATCTGAAGGTTTCGTGGCTGGAGATGGAGGCTTCTCTTTTCTCAGGGAAGAGGGGGGCCAGCAGGTGAGAGAGGGGAGCAGGGGTGTGCAGGAGTGCATGGGCTGTGGTGGAAGCAAGAAGCGCCATCGGGAAAATGGCGGAGCAGCCGCTCTGCAGCCCTGGGAGCTGTTGGCTGGTTGTCGTGTATTTAGTGAGAAGTGCATCTTGCCGGGGCCCCTTCCCCCAGGAGTGCTGGGGGCAGATGTGGAGTAGGCACCTGATAGCGTTCATCCGGCCTGGAGGTTCTGCGGGTTAGTTCCGTGGAGGGAGAGTTGGGGAGACTCGCAAAAAAGTAATGATAATGTTGGTCCATGTCACTCAGGCTGGCCTCGGGAGACTGTCGCCAGAAAGGGTGAAGGCAGTACATGATGGGCGAGGCCCTTGGAGGCCAGGTGTGCAGAGGGTTGGGGGGTGGGGTTTGAAGGCACCACGGATGGTGCCAAGAACCGGGGTCGAGAGAAGAGTGAGAACGAAGAACAGAAGTCCTGAGGGGACAGGGGTTGGGGGAGTGTTTCCAGAGTGCCCCAGGTGAAGGCAGAGAAGACGCAGGGATGGCGAAGCCAGGTGGCATTTCCTCAGGGTGAGAGGTGGCGGTCTTCAGGCAGTAATGGGGCACGGGTCAGCCCCTCCTGCCCCACTGCTCCTCGGGGCTCCAGACCGAAGCAGCCTTTGCCCCAGAGGCCAGCAGAGGCGGTGGGCTGCAGGCAGGGCCAGGTGCCGACGGCACCGTCGGAGGAGAGCGTGCAGCCACAGCAGGGTTTGTTCCTGCAGCGGCATGCTGGAAGCTGGGCAAGGGAGACGGGGGATCGACACAGGCTGCCCGGACTCAGGGTCGTGCCTGAGGTGCACCAGCATGTGCGTGCGGGTGTAGGGTTAGCCCTCGGCGTCTCTTCCGGGGAGCTGGAGACCAGCTCCTGACCACGGGGTCCTGACCTGGTGCATCTTGTGCCACTTGGTCACTGGTGTACAGGTAGGGAAGACACCGTGACACTGATCAGCTTTGCTGGGTGTCGCCGAGTCCTTCAGTTCTGTCAACAGACAGTTGGTGGCCACCTCTATGAGCCAGGCCCCTGCAGCCATTGGCCTAGGAGGGGATGAGGCGTAGCCATCACCTGGGCTTTTCACCCCAGGCCTCCCAACAGCCAGGCGCCTCCTGCCCTGTCCCCCTGCACCCAGCCTGCAGTGACAGCAGTGTCTTTGTAAGACGTAGTGAGATTGTGGAAGAAGGGCTTCTGCTGTCTTAAAAAAAAAAAAAAAAGAGAGAGAGAGAGAGAATCATTGTGGTAATAGAATCCCTGCAGACTCCTAAGATGAAGACCTCATTCTCACCATGCCCAGGTTCCTTTTGCAGAACTAACGCTCCCTGTGTTTTATTTGGCCCCCTCCAACCGCCTGCAGAGTTTGGTGTGTACTGTAGCCACTGCCGGAACGAGGTCCGTGGCGCGCAGTGTGCCATCTGCAAAGGCTTCACGTTCCAGTGTGCCATCTGCCACGTGGCCGTACGCGGATCGTCCAATTTCTGCCTGACCTGCGGGCATGGTGGGCACACCAGCCACATGATGGAGTGGTTTCGGACCCAGGAGGTGTGTCCCACCGGTTGTGGATGTCACTGCCTGCTTGAAAGCACATTCTGAACTCACAGACCATGGGAGTTGTTGCAAATCCCACGGGATTCCATAAATGTTGGATGACAAGGTCTCCACCAGGAGGGAGGCTCCAGAAAGCCATTCTTGAATAGACTGGAGCATGTTCCTCTCAAAGACTGCCACTGCACCAGCTGTCCATGAGCTTTTGCTTCTCTTCTGTTTGGCTCTTGATGGCGTGGATGTCACCAGGAAGGAGGAGGGCAGATGTGCAGAGCCACGTTGCCAGGTGGAAATCTTCTTGAAGAAAGGCACCTGCCTCTAGAGCCGTGTTTACCTTCAAGGTGTTAACCTTAAACCACTGAATAGCATCCTTTCTGATGCCATTTCAGACCAAGGTCAGATACAAAGGACAGTCTCCTGAGCCGAAGGACAATGGACATTAACTTAGTTGATAAGTAGGTCTGTGATATAAGTTGGTACATTTAAATGAACTGATGGATAGTGGCCTTTTAAAAATAATATTTAAATTATAAATACATGATGTACTTAAGGACTCTAAAGATGTATCTTATGTTTGTTATTTCTCTTCAAGCTGCTCTCCCTTGGCTAATAAAAGTCAGGTAATTGTTTGAAAAAAAAAAAAGAGAGAAGGTTGAACAGTGTTACAGTGAAATTGTTTTTATCCTCTTTGAAGTTAACTCTTTGGGATAGGACCAGAGTCACTGCTCAGATTTTCTTTTTCTTTTTTTTAAAGATTTTATTTATTTATTTATGAGAGTGAGCGAGAGAGAAACAGCATGAGAGGGGAGAGAGTCAGAGGGAGAAGCAGGCTCCCCACTGAGCCGGGAGCCCGATGTGGGACTCGATCCCAGGACTCCGGGATCATGACTTGAGCCGAAGGCAGTTGCTTAACCAACTGAGCCACCCAGGCGCCCACTGCTCAGATTTTCAAAGGAAATGCTGATTTACTCTTGTCATCTGATGGGAGAAAATAGAATTTGATATTTTAAGTTTCTTTCCAACTCCAGGAGCCTTTTTTTTTTTTTTTTTTTGATTTTTTTTTTTTATAAAGGGGGGGGGGGGGGGGGGGGGGGGGGAGGAGGAAGAGGGAGAGAGAATCTTAAGCAGACTCTGCGTTGAGTGCAGAGCCTGATATGGGGCTCGATCCCATGACCCTGAGATCATGACCTGAGCCAAAACCAAGAGTTGGATGTTCAACTGGCTGCACCCCCCAGGCGCCCCAACCCTAGGAGTCTCTTAATCATTTCATTTAGCAAAAGGAACATGAGATGGCTTCACAGCGTTGATATTCGAGTCTCCCATTGCTACTGCGCAGGTTGGTTGAGTTCTGGTAAGTTCCTTCCAGTCTTCATTTGGGCTCCCTCACAGACTTTCCATTTTTTGTTTATCTGCATTCCAAGTGGCTGTGACTCAGATGTCCACCTGTTTTATTCTTCAGAATGATTTTCAACTCTTCACATATTATATGTGCCAAGAACGAGAAATCTTTTTGATATTTCTACTAGAATATGTATTTGTTACTTAGAATTTCATAATTCCAAATTGATTAACTTAGGAAATATAAGAACATGTCTCAAAATGTGTTATATATCACTGTTTTAAACTACAGGTCAGGACCCGGTAATGGATTGTGAAATCAATTTAGTATATAAAAACCAGCATTAAAGAAATGAAATAGAGTGGTGAATATCATTTTGTGTAACCTGTTTATGAGTGTATATGCACACACTCGCATACATGTATAATGGATCACAATATAAATTCATTTCTTACTGAGGATTGTGGGGTCAAGACCCATCCATTACCTACGAGTGACTCATTTTAGACCTAAAGACACCTGCAGACTGAAAGGGAATGGAGAAACATTTGTCATGCAAATGAATGTCAAAAGAAAGAAGTAGCAATACTTACATTGGACAAACTAGACTTTAAAATAAAGATTGTAACAAGAGACAAAGAAGGGCACTATATGGAACACCTGGGTGGCTCAGTTGGTTGAGCGACTGACTTTTTTTTTTTTTTTTTTATTGAGAGAGAGAGAATGGTAGAGAGCATGAGAGGGAAGGAGGTCAGAGGGAGAGGCAGACTCCCCGCTGAGCAGGGAGCCCGATGCGGGACTCGGTCCCGGGACTCCAGGATCATGACCTGAGCCGAAGGCAGTCGCCCAACCAACTGAGCCACCCAGGCGCCCTGAGCGACTGACTCTTGATTTTGGCTCAGATCATATCTCAGGGTCGAGCCCTGCATCGGGCTCCATGCTGAGCATGGAGTCCACTTGGGATTCTCTCTTTCCATCTCCCTCTCCCCCTCCCCCTCCTCCCTTCTCTCAAATAAATAAATCTCAAAAAAAAAAAAAAAGGCATAGGGCGCCTGGGTGGCTCAGTCGGTTAAGTGGCTGCCTTCAGCTCAGGTCGTAATCCGAGTGCCCTAAGATCGAGCCCTGCATCGGGCTCTCTGCTCAGCGGGGAGCCTGCTTCTCCTCTGCCTGCCGCTCTGACTATCTGTGCTCTCTATCTCTCTGTCAAATAAATAAATAAAATCTTAAAAAAAAAAGGCACTATATAATAATAAAGGGGACAATCCAACAAGAAGGTATAATAATTATAGATATGTATACACCCAACATGGGAGCACTCATACATAAAACAGTAATAACAAACATAAAGGAACTAATCTATGATGATAATACAGTAATAGTAGTGGACTTTAACACCCCTGTTATATCAATGAGGACAGGTGACCTAAACAGAAAATAACAAGGAAACAATGGCTTAGAAGAACACACTGGACCAGATGGACTTAACAGATATATTCAGAACATTTCATCTTGAAACAACAGAATGCACATTCTTTTCAAGTGCACATGGAACATTCTCCAGAATAGATCACATATGAGGCCACAAAACAGGCCTCAAGAAATACAAGAAGATTGAAGTCATACCATGCATCTTTTTTGACCACAGAGCTATGAAACTAGAAGTCAACCACAAGAAAAAAATCTGCAAAGACCAAAAATACATGGAGGTTAAATAAGATGCTACTAAACAATGGATAGGTCCACCAGGAAATAAAAGAAGAAATTTAAAAAATACATGAAAACACATGAAAACGAAAACACACTTGTCCAAAACCTTTGGGATGCAGCAAAAGTGGTCCTAAGAGGGAAATATATAGCAATACAGGTCTATCTCAAGGAGCAAGAAAAATCTTAAATGAACAACCTAACCTTACAACTAAACAAGCTGGAAAACAACCTAAAACAAGGCCTAAAGCCAGCAGAAGGAAGGAAATAGATTAGAGCAGAAATGATATAGAAACTAAAACACACACACACACACACACACACACACAAAACGGATCAATGAAACCAGGAGCTGGTTCTTTGAAAAAATTAATAAAAAAGGGGCGCCTGGGTGGCTCAGGTCATGATCTCAGGGTCCTGGGATTGAGCCCCACATCGGGCTCCCTGCTCAGCGGGAAGCCTGCTTCTCCCTTTCCCACTCCCCCTGCTTGTGTTCCCTCTCTCGCTGTCTCTCTCTGTCAAATAAAATCTTAAAAAAAAGAAAAAGTTAATAAAATTGATAAACCTCTAGCCAGACTTACCAAAAAGAAAAGAGAAAGGACCCAAATAAAATCAAAACTAGAAGGGAGAAATAACAACAAATACCACAGAAGTACAATTAGAAGAAAATATGAAAAGCTGTATGCCAACAAACTGGACAACCAAGAAGAAATGGGTAAATTCCTAGAAACATATAAATTACCAAAACTGAAACAGGAAGAAAAAGAAAACAGACTGATAACTAGCAAAGAAATTGAACGGGTAATCAAAAAACTCCAGCAAACAAAAGTCCAGGACCAAGTAGCTTCACAGGCAAATTCTACCAAACATTTAAAGAAGAGTTAATACCTACTCTTCAAAGTATTCCAAAAAATAGAAGAGGAAGAAAAATTTCCAAATTCATTCAATGAGGACAGCATTATCCTGATCCCAAAACTAGATAAAGACACCACTAAAAAAGAGAACTACAGGCCAATATCCCTGATGAATATAGATGCAAAAATTCTCAATAAAATACTAGCAAACCAAATCCAACAATACATTTAAAAAATCACTCACCACGATCAAGTGAGATTTATTCATGGCTTGCAAGGGTGGTTCAGTATTTGCAAATCAATGTGACATACCACACTAATAAAGGATAAGAACCATGTGATCATTTCAGGGGATGCAGAAAAAGCATTTGACAAAGTACAACATCCATTCATGATAAAAACCCTCAATAAAGTTAATTTTGAGGGATCATACCTCAAAATTATAAACAGGTAAAGGCCATGTATGAAAAACCCACAATTAATATCCTAAATGGGGGGAAACCAAGAGCTTCTCCTCTATGGTCAGGAAAAGACAGGGATGTCCACTCTCACCACTTTTATTCAACATAGTACTAGAAGTCCTAGCGACAGCAATCAGACAACAAAAATAAAAGGCATCCAAATCAAGAGGTAAAATTTTCACTATTCGCAGATGACATGATACTGTATGTAGAAACCCTAAAGACCCCACCAAAAAAACTGCTAGAACTGATAAACGAGTTCAGTAGTCTCAGGATACAAAACCAACATATAGAAATCTGTTGCATTTCTATACACCAGCAATGAAGCAGCAGAAAGAGAAATTAAGGAATCGATCCCATTTACAATTACACCAAAAACAAAAAGATACTTGGGAATATACCTAATCCACGAGGTGAAATACCTGCACTCTGAAGACAATAAAATACTGATGAAAGAAATTCAAGATACTCTTTCTCGTGGCACCTCAGAGGTGGTAGGCTGCTTCAGGATGAAGCTGAACATCTCTTTCCCAGCTTCTGGCTGTGAGAAACTCATTGAAGTGGATGATGAACGCAAACTTCATACGTTTTATGAGTAGTGTATGGCCACAGAAGTTGCTGCTGATGCTCTGGGTGAAGAATGGAAGGGTTACGTGGTCCAAATCAATGGTGGCAGTGACAAACAAGGATTCCCCATGAAACGGGGTGTCGCGACCCATGGCTGAGTCTGCCTGCTGCTGATTGAGGAGCATTCCTGCTACAGAGCAAGGAGGACTGGAGAAAGGGCAAATCTGTTTGGGGTTGCATTGTGGATGCCAATCTCAGTGTTCTCAACTTGGTCATTGTAGAAAAAAGGGGAGAAGGGTACTCCTGGACTCACTGATAACTACTGTGCCTTGTTGCCTGGGGCCCAGGAGAGCCAGCAGAATCCTCAAACTTCCAGTCTCTCTAAAGAAGATGATGTTCACCAGTATGTTATGAGAAAGCCCCTGAACAAAGAAGGTGAGAAACCTAGAATCAGAGAGCCCAAGATTCAGCATCCTGTTACTCCGCGTGTCCTCCCACACAAACATCAGCATATTGCTTTGAAGGAACAGCGCACTAAGAAAAATAAGGAAGAGGCTGCAGAATATGCTAACCGTTTGGCCAAGAGAATGAAGGAGGCCAAAGAAAAATTCTAGGAATAGATTGCCAAGAGACAGAGGCTGTCCTCTCTGAGAGCTTCTACCTCTAAGTCTGAGTCCAGTCAAAAATAAGATTTTTAAAGAGTAACAAATAGATGGGACATCAAAA